AGCCTGGGTTGTAACTGCCCCAAGCAAGCTCTGCTGAGAGGGAACTCCAAGGACTTCTCCAGCTAGGGCCAGAAGTCAGTATTATCCAGTAGGGCAGTGTTTCCATAAAGTGTTTTAGAGAAGGTGGATTCTGACCTTGATAGAGAGAACCAAGGACTTGAAGGTTCATCATGGAAGAGTGAGACTGGGTGCAGTTAAGGTTGATAAAGTAGTATAACAGGTGCCGTGAGGAGAAACATGCTGTGGATTCAGGCCTTCCAGGTGGAGTGGGCACTGAGAAGATGCTTAGACATATCGGGTCACATCAAGGACTAAAGTCCCAAGACATTGTCCTTTAAATAAGGTGAATTTGAAATTGACACTAGCCTATTTACAAAGCAGAGCATGAAGGTTGTGCACTAAAGGCTTTTGATAGCAGGCAGTCATGATAGGTATTCACTAGCTGGGACTGTGGGTGAGCCCCTGAGCCCCTGAAACCTGTTTCTTCAATTAAAATGGGATGGTAAGACTCTTTACCCTGAACTGTTTCATGACCATAAGAAGAGGTGATACTGTGAGAATGTGTATAAAACACTTAGCACAGGCCTAGCACGTGGCAAGCCTTTAACATGTTCACAATTGCAATCACTGCATAGATCCTGTCACCAAGAAAGCTTATGTGAGTAGATATCAACTTGGGTAAGGGAGTTTCCTAACTTAGTTCAAAATATTTTGCTGGCTGGGACAAGGGAGAAAAGAAGGAATCAAATATGAAATAGGATTTCAAATATTTATATCTTATTAGAAACCAACATGTTCACCTGGCCTCTAAGCCACCCTCACTGAAATCCAGAATTTGGAAAATGGAAGAGAACCTTTTTGAATCTATGACTATGAAATGCATAGGACTTAAGTTGGGTATGGTGGGGCATGTCTGTAATTCTGGCACTTACGAGTCTGAGGCAGGAGAATTTTGAGTTATCGGCCAGCCTGTGCTACACAATGAGACCTTGTCTGAAAACAAAACAAAGCACCAACACCAATAACAAACTCAAAATGCATATAACTTGTCCCTTCTTGTCTTCATGCATTCAGTGTCATTGTCTCAGCCAGGTAATGACAAACTCTCATGCTGTCTTGGTGAATTAAATCTTATTGCATCGAATAGATGATGGGTTTTAATATTTCATGAACCAGTGAGTATTAGATTATTAAAATACCAGACTGAAGAGAACTGCTAATATGTTCCATCTTCATTTTAAATTTGAATTATTGTTGAGTATTCCTGATGGGAGCTGGATACTCTTGATCAAAGCAAATTACTATCAAGGTATTATTCTTGAACAAAACTCAGGATTTGGGCTCAGGATATGCACGAAAGGCCTACCAAATGGCTTGCTCTGTGGACTTCCTGATCTTCAGTAATAATAATGATGATAATCAGCATGTAAGATCCATGTGAGGGTCATATAAAATATGTAAAATATTCTTTATCAACTTAAAAGTATCACACAAATGTTAGCTACCTGTTAGTTATTAATTCCTGCTGGTAGAAAGATCATAGACTGGAGGTGGAGAGGTCCGGGCTATGCCCTTTCCAGGACATGTGACCTTAAGCAGGCAGTTTAGTCTAGAGTCACCATTTCATCACCTAGGGAATATTGCAGGATTGTGAATCCTTCCAAAGGAAAGTAGTATGTGTTGAGGAAAGCAGTCCTCTCCAAAGGCAGGGCAAGAACAGACCTAGCTCCTACCACACTAGGCTGGAGATGTGCTTCTGGAACATGAAAGAAAACTGGAAGCCATGAAGCCTGACCACTAGTTTCTGGGATATGGCAAATGTACCAGGGACTGCTGGTGAGCAGTAATCTGAGTGAGGTGTGCACACTTAATCTAGACGCTGACCTAGATATATGACCCACAAAAATAAAAATAGTGTCACTTACTGAAACCAGGTCTTCATGTATTCAGTCAGTCATTGACCCCTGAGGAGCACATGGGTCAGTGAGACTATAAACTGAGACTATAAAAGCAAGTGGCTGGTCCCTCACACATGCTTGTGCATTTCTTTATACATGCCAGTATAAAAGCATTGATTCTTTGGCTGCAGGGAACAGAACAGGGAGGAGATTGAGATGGCCACTGCTAGGATCAGGCAGGCCAGGGCAGCTCCTTTGAGGATGTGTGGGGATTTAATGGGACGTTATGTAGAATCTGTGAAAGTTACTGGCTCAGGATTCCTATCATCAGAATCCCTAGAATCCTTTTTTTTTTACCCCCAGCCTTTCTGCCTCTAAGTGTTGTGGATAGTAGACTCAAACCAAAGCAATTTGCAAGTTTTCTAGAGAATTTCAAACTTTGGGGCTGGAGAGATGGCTCAGTGGTTAAGAACACTGATTGTTCTTACAGAAGAGCCTGGTTTGAATCCCAGCACCCACATGGCAGCTAACTGTCCATAACCCCAGTTCCAGGGGATCCAACAGTCTTTTCTGTTCTCCCTGGGCATTACATGACATGGATGCACTTACCCACATGCAGGCAATACATGCATACACATAAAATAAAAGCAATAAATAAAATATTTTTAAAAACACTGATTGTTCTTACAGAAGAGCCTGGTTTGAATCCCAGCACCCACATGGCAGCTAACTGTCCATAACCCCAGTTCCAGGGGATCCAACAGTCTTTTCTGTTCTCCCTGGGCATTACATGACATGGATGCACTTACCCACATGCAGGCAATACACTCATACACATAAAATAAAAGCAATAAATAAAATATTTTTAAAAAGGAAGAAAATCTCAAACTTGTAAAAACTAGAATCATGGGCATTACTAGGTTCCCAAGGAAGGCCTAAAGAGGAAGAGGAGTGGGTTGGAAGGGGCCTGTCATGACCTCAGGAACAACTGATCCATGCTGAATTAGTCCTCCAGGATATGAATATGACAGGACTGGGATGAGAGAGCAGCAGATGCTCAGAGAAAGGGGAAGGTCATCTGTCTTTCTGATCACTGAGTCCACTGGTCCATCCAGGGCACCATGTGGAGTTGAGTGGGAGAACCCCCGGCCATAGATTTCCACCCCTACCAGTCCTCAGCTTCTTTCTAGCCAGATCTAAAAACAGTCACTGCCAAACTTCTCCTCCAGCTCCCTGTCCTCAGAATGTCAGTGAGTCTCCAGTTTGTGTTGTATGATGGTCACTGACCCAGAAGGTCACCTCAGAGATCTGAGCCAGCAAAACCCTACCTACCTTGAAAACTAGGACCTACAGATGCTTAACTGTAGAGCAATGCATGCCCATTCTCTAATCCTTTTTCTACTCAGCTGTAGCTTGGAGACCTCACTGTCCTCATAGAGTTGTTTTGAGGAGTATGTGAAATGAACTTGAATTTCCTGGAGCAGTGGACAGCACATAGGAAGCCATGAGTACATATGGCTCTTGCCCACTTTCCCCAGCTGTGAAGTGGCAGGAATTGTAGCCCTGCATGATGGGTAAGGAAACAGAGAAATGACCCACTGAAAACCCAACGCAGATCTGACTTCAGGTACAGCTTGATTCAGACACACAAGTGATGTTGCCAAGACCTGGTTTCTGCATTTCTCAGCCTCTCTTCCTCACCATTGGCTGCTGTTTCAGGCAGACCGCCCCTTCAGGGTAGCAAGATGGTATGAGCCCTTCAGTTTATGTACATCTTCATAGACTCAACCCAGAAGAGGGCACCTGTCCATTCTCCCTCAGGTCCCAGTTAGGCATATTGTACCTCATTACTGAGCCCTCCAATGGAAGCAGGCAGTGCCTAGACTGTTCCAGGCCTCCTCTGGAACTGGGGTCAGAGCCAGAGCTACTGAACCTTGGAGACGGGAAGTGCGGAGAAGGCTTGAGTGTTACTAGGAGGACAGCAAATGGCTGTGAGGAAAACTACAGAATCCGTAGCCCTGCAGCACCCACCCTATTTTAGGAGCAAAGGATTTGACTTCTTTGTTTACCTACTGAATAATCAAGGGTGCTGTGTCTCTGCTCTCTGCTCAGAGCAGATTTGGCATGGCATAGCCAGGCCTCAAAGAGCTCAATGCAGTCATGTCTAAGTGTCAGCAGTGCCATCTAGTTCAGCAATCATCAGGATGTTGCTCAGTGGCCACCCAGAATGCAGAAGAGCTCAGTAAACCACTAATCTAATAGTGAAGAAGGATAAAACCAACACTGGAGTAAGCTCACCTGAGACTATTCCCCATTACTGCGTGGGAAATTTTATGCAAATTCACCTCCCTAGACTGGAACAAACATCCTCATCCTCTTCCCAACCCCTCTAGGTTGGTATTTTTTGTTGAACAGGATCCCTTTCTGTAAATTGCTCTGTACTGATGCTGGACCAGGTTACTTGTAACTTCAGGAAATGACCAAGGTGCTTGCTACCTAGAGTACCTGCTGTGGACATTGGTGAGGACTGTGTGCTCTAAACACACTCTTCTTCCCAAAAGGACGAGCCTGAGGCTAAGAGAGACTTATCTTACTGTCCCTGTCCTTGTCCACCCCCTTTGGTGTTCACATCCCAAAAAGTGACCTCTGCTCCTCCCCCTGGGAACCCTCAGAAATAGTCCAGCCTCATGCATGCTGGCTCATGGCTGTTCCATCTGGATCCATGCATCCTCACGATCGCACTGCCTACTGGCACCTCCGTCCTTGTCTCTGAACCCTAAAAGATGTGCAATGTCCAGATTCAGCCCCTCCCCATTTATCATTGTGCTTGCTTCCTCTCACTCAAAGTTCTCTTGAAACCCTCTTTTCATAGAAGCCTCTGCTCTCCTGTCAGGTTGATTCACTCATAGGTGCAACAAGACATTTCTCCTCAGCGTTTCCCTCAAAATAGCTCCCAACCCCTCTGACCTAACCCTCAGATGAGGACTGTCTGAAATATAGCCCTGTTTGTTCAAGGATTGTCTTGATCCCAGTAGTGAGAACAAGACTTAATAGCCTCCCGGAACTAAGACCTGACCAGAGCTCTTGACTTTGTGTTCTCAGGGGACTGCTGGCTGCTGGCCGCCATCGCCTCCCTCACTTTGAATGAAGAAATCCTGGCTCGAGTTGTGCCCCTAGACCAGAGCTTCCAGGAAAACTATGCAGGGATCTTCCACTTCCAGGTAGGTAACTTAATGGTTGGCTCAGGCTTCTCCTCTCCCTGTCTCAAGGACTCAGCACAGTTCCCTGGCTTGGCTGGCTCCTTAGCGCCTTAGTCCCTGGTGTTTTCAAGCTCCTGAGATCAGTTCTGCAGAGGACATTGAGAGCAGGATGTTCCCAACCTGCCCATTGACATGGAGCCCCAAAAGGAAGTCCAGGAATTTGGGGGAAAGGGGTGAACTCTAGGGAGGTAGAACTTAATGTTCAGGAAGTAATCCCCAAGTTTTAAAACAAAGAGGTTATTTAAGGTTTGAGATAAAAGGCTAAGTTTTTTCTCCTTTTAGGGTGGTAAATGAGAAATGATATATTTTTTAAGGAGGTGAGTGTAGCTCTGGAGACACAGACAAGCCCCTCTGTCCTTGTTTGCTTGGTAAGGGCCTGCTTGCCATAGGAGACTGAAGGGCATCTCCCTCTGAGTCAGCTCTTGGGGCCTACAACAAGGGTCTGCTGGGCAGGAGGGAACCCGATATGGCTGAGGCTCAGAGTTTCAGTGCCACCCTCTCTTGTCCTTCCTGTCCCCCTTGTCCTATAGTTCTGGCAGTATGGCGAGTGGGTGGAGGTGGTGGTGGATGACAGGCTGCCCACCAAGGATGGGGAGCTGCTGTTTGTGCACTCAGCAGAGGGGAGAGAGTTCTGGAGCGCTCTGCTGGAGAAGGCCTATGCCAAGTAAGTGACCATGCCCTTTCCCAACACCAGCATGCACCCTGTCCCTGCTGCCCTGGACTATTCAAGGTCTTATTTGAGTAGAAGTTCTGCTCTAGGAAAGAATGACTTTGGGCCTGATGTGCCTGATGTGCTGGTAAATGCTAGCCATTTCTGTTTTTAACCAACTGCTCTGACCCTGAAAAGGAACTCTGCTTCTCTGGTAGGTTCTATTGCATTTTTATCAGCTAAAAATAGCAGCCTTTGCCAATGGGCACAACTACCCATCGCAGAGGTAGGAAAGTTGTAGCAGCTCACCCAGAATGTACCATATAGCTGCTGAGAATGGTTTCCCAGTTGCTTCTCACCCAGGTTGCCCAAAGTTGACCTTGTGCTGTGCCCAGTATGTCAGCCCTCTGCAGAAGAGCCTCTGCTGGTGGTGCTGCTGGGCTTCCTGTATTAAGATGAACCAATTTTAGGCAGCAAATGGGGGTGGAGGTTGGATCCTTACAACCCCAGACAAGGAAGGAGTGGGCAGGTTTCATGCCCTCAGACAAGAGAACTTAAGGCCCAGAACTCAAGTACTGGAGATGAAGCCCTCAGGCCTCAGCATTGGTAGTCAGGAGCCACCATGAGAAGCCACCACCTGTTTCTCAGGGAAGCTGATTCATCATTGAAGTGTTGTCTTATTTTAACCACTAACTACTAAACAAGGGTTGAATCAATGCCAGAGATTGGATTAGATCTTCCCTTAGTCCTTCCAACTCCAAGATTCCGTAGAATTTTTTAAATGCTTCATAGCCAGAGAGAAATGGGAGCTTGGGGGCGTAACACCTTGTCTTCGTAGGCACCCCAACTTGGAGAAAAAGGCAAGGAGAATGAAAGTAGAGGGTTCCATGAGTGGCTGTGGGGGCGGGGATTCATCGGTGTGGGCTAGGGCTGACACTTAGAGGCATGACAGCATCTTTGGGGTCAGGAGCGTCAAGGGCAGCATGCATTCCCCTACTGTAGGATCAATGGGTGCTATGAAGCACTCTCAGGGGGCGCCACCACCGAGGGCTTTGAAGACTTCACAGGAGGCATTGCTGAGTGGTATGAGTTGAAGAAGCCTCCTCCCAACCTGTTCAAGATCATCCAGAAGGCTCTACAGAAAGGCTCTCTGCTTGGCTGCTCTATCGATGTAAGTCCACATGTCCCTGTCTAAACCCACTCCAGACTGAGCTAGCTCAGGGAAAGCCTGATAATGCTCAGAAACTCATTAAGGACATTAATCTGTCTCTGTTCACTGGTGTTGCTCATCACCTGGAAGCCAGAGTTGCTAGGCAATGGCCAGGCTGACTTAGGGTGCAGTTGATAGGGTGATGTTGCCTCCAACCTTTCCCTCCCCAGCACATTTCCCCCTTCTAACTCTGCTCTGAATCACTCCACTCCCAGACCATAAGTGCCCGTGAGCCTCCTGCTTTCTGCTGGTCTTGCCACCTTCTCCCCCATCTGCAAGCCTGTTGGAGCAGTCAACAACCTTCTCACTCTGTCCAGTGTAGATGTGTCCGGCCTGGGGAAGACTTTAAGGGGCACCAGAAGGAACCTTGTCTTCATAATAGCTCTGTAGGCCAAGCTCACCAGGGAAATGGGAGGTAGGCATGGGTCTAGTTCCTCCAAAGGCTGTGCCCACAGAGGAGAAAGGAGCTGCTTTGAGGAGTTTCTAATAAGCTAATTCTGAACTCAGGCTGGAAACAAAGACTCACCATCATGTGCAACTGGGCTGGGCCACATCCAGCTAGGGATAGGGTGTCAGAGCATCTTGGCCACCGATGTCGCCTGAGTGTCTGTCTGAGGTCACCCACTGGCCTGTCTCCAGGATGAGCCCCTTGGCGCCCTCCCCAGCCAGCAGATGGCTGTGAATGCCCCCTCCATCTGGGAATGCCTGCTGACTTTCGCCTATCTCTGGTGGTCCCCGGCGGTCAGCATCAGACTGCGGCACCGGACTCCTGCAGATGGCAGGATGCGCATCTCTGCTCCGCACACCCCAGGCCTTGTGCGCCCCTGGAGGTTTGTATTGGAACGCGAGCATCGTGGCTGACTGTCGCCGTGTTTGCAGATCACCAGCGCTGCCGACTCCGAGGCCGTCACGTACCAGAAGCTGGTGAAAGGACACGCGTACTCGGTCACCGGAGCCGAGGAGGTAACGGTGGGCGGGGAGGACAGACTGCTCCCCTACCACGTGGCTGCCCAGGGTGGGACGGGAGGAGAGGCGGAGATAGAGTCCAGCCTGCCGGTGTCTGCCCGGCGTGCGCCCCCTGCTGGCCGCAGGCTCCAGGCGCGCTTCTGTTCTATTTTAGAGTTAAAACTTGAATTTCTAGATCAACTTTAAACAAAACACCCTCCCCTCCAAAAAAAACCACCAGTACTTCGCATCTGTATAGTATTTTATGCTCTTCAAAATACTTTTAGTTGGGGAGGCTCACGTCTGAAATCCCATTACAGGAGAAGCTGAGGAAAAGAATTGTCACTAGTTTGAGGCCAGCCTGGATCCATTGTGAGTTCCAAGCCACTGGACTGCGTAGCTAGACACTGTGTTAATAACAACAACAACAACAAAAGCAAAGCAAAACAAAGCCAACCAACCGACAAATAAAAGCTTTTAAATTTGATGTAAAAAATTTGCAATTATGCCTGTGTTTTAAGTGTGACTGTGCCTCCTACCAGCCGTGTGGCCTGGGCAAGGTACTTAAAGTCTGTGTCTTCCTTCTTCCTTACAAGGGAAATAATATATCCACTGTAAGTGGCTGTAATGATTCAGTCAAGTTATATGTAAAGTGCTCTTGACTGTAAGATACATCGTAGACAAGTAGGCAGTGTTTCTCTAGCAGTTGTTACTATTTTTACTGAAAATCAAGCAGCCCAAGTTCCCTGCTATTGTCAAGCCCTTTCTTTATTTTTTATATTTTGTTTAATTTTTGTTTCTTGATACAGAATCTCATGTAGCTTAGACTGGCCTGGAATTCCCTGTTAATTAACATTGACCTTAAACTCCTGATCTTCCTGCCTCCACGTCCCAAGATGGGGTCACAGGTGTGCTCTACCACACCAGCCTTCTGAGTGTTTCTCCTTTTGCTTCTTTTTTACACTGGCAATCACAGAGCTTATACCTACGAAGCATGCACCTACCATTGAGCTTCGTCCCCAACCCCTCAGACTTAGATTTTTAAGTACCCCCACTTCTCTTTTGTCGTAAAAAATTTCAAGTCTACAGAAAGGTTGGAAGAATAGCATAATAAACATCCAAATGCTATTCCCCCAGATTCAGCAGTCTTTACGTTTTGTCACATATATTATATTTGTGAGTGTAGACTTTTTTTTTCTGAGCTATTTGTAGGGAAGTTGCAGATGTCATGACACTTCACTTTTAAACATCATGTCCTCCTGAGGACATTGTTTTACTTGGCCCCACTGCTGCCATGCCCAGGAAAATAAATAATTAATTCAATAACATCATTAAATACACAGTCCACAGTTAACATTTTCCTAATTTCCAAAAATGTCCTTTCTAGTGTCCCACCACCCTATCCCCAGTCCAGGACATACACTAGCCAGATACGGTGGCAAACACCTGTAGTCCCAGCTACCCTGACTCCTGAGCCAGGAAGATCATTTGAGAGCCCTGATGTTCAGGGCCGGCCTGGGCAACACAGTGAGACCCTGTCTTAAAAAAATAAAAATAAAAACATTCCCAAACTACATCTTCTCATTTTCATCCATATCCTTCAAGCAAGAGAGGAAGCTTCTGTGAGAGCCTGTGATGAAAGTATGTTCTATTCAGTTACTTAATTGAGATATTTAGAGGTAATACTACCAACCACAGACCCCAGAACAAGTGTGTTTATGCTTCAGGCTAATAACAACGAGTAAAGGGCCCCACTTCTCCCAGAGCCAGACCCTGGGAGAATTCTCCTTTTCTTTTTGTTCCCTTGACTTATTTTTGTTTGGTTTGTTTTAGAGGAGGGAGGAGAGAGTGTATTGTTTGTTTTGTTTTTTTGTTTGTTTTGTTTTGTTTTGTTTTGTTGAGACAAGGTCACTCCACATAGCTCTGGCTTCCCTGGAACTTGTGATCCTCCTGGCTCTGCCTCTTACATGCTGGATTTCCAGGTGTATACCAACACACCCATTTTTAATTCTCATTTTCCAAAGCTGGCCAGCAGTGGGGATCTAAGGGTCAAGCCTTTTCCAGCTCCTGTGATCCTCTGTCACAGATGGGCTCTCCCTACCTGGCTCATGCTGAAGGGGGCTTTGGATGTAAGTCCCTCCAAATCTGCATGGCCCTCAGCCTCTCCCTTCTTTCTTTCATTGGATCCTTCAGGTTGAAAGTTCAGGAAGCCTACAGAAACTGATCCGCATCCGCAATCCCTGGGGACAAGTGGAGTGGACCGGGAAATGGAACGACAAGTAAGAAGAGTATAGGGCAGGCCAGGGGTGTGCACTCTGCAAGAGGCCCTGTTAAAACCAAGAAATGAGGTGCTAAACTTGCTGCTCACACCAAGTGAGCCCTGGGATAATGGCCCCTTGAAGGGTCTTTATAGCAAGATACCACTCCTGGCACTAGGGTACCCTGCCCAGGCCCAGGCACCCTGTGGGTCACATTCCTTCCTACCTCATAATCCATCCTTTCCCCAACTCAAACACACTCTGGTATTGACTGGGCCTTCAAGGGAAAATGTACCCCATGGGCTGACAAGCTGGCTCAGTGGGTAAAAGCAATTGCAACCAAGCCTGATGACCTGAGTTCGATCCCTGGAACCTACATGGTGGAAGGAGTGAACTAATGCCCACAAATTGTCCTCTGACCTCCATATGTGTGCTATGGCATTCATGTACCCTTCCCCCCACATGGGCATGTGCAAGCACACACACACACTAAATAAATAAATGTAAAACAAAAATGTTTTTAGAGAAAAGAAAATTCACCTCTTTTTCCACTAACACTTCTATTCCAAGGACATGAGCTTTGTGCAAAGAGCAGAGATGTCCCTGTTGATCTCTAGGGCTTGCTGGTAGCTGTTAGGCCTTCAACTCCTTGGAGTAGAAGTTCCATTGAGCCCTTCCCCTGAGTTCCCGACTCCAGCTGGGAACCCCCCATTCTTCCACTCTTTCCTGGCCAGTTCCCAGCACCCTTGGCCCCTCAGGGGAATGCCTGCTGGTGAGCTTCCTTCAAGATGGAGCACAGAGGCTGGGACAGGGGCTCTTTACTGGATTTCAGTTGTTCCTATGAGAGCTGCCAGGTACATCTCACCTGGACAGGCGATGACCCTCGGCCCCTTGCTGGTGGACTGTGCTAATTTTCTAGACTCTTCCTTGCTGTCATCTTCTAGGAGGCACATCCTCTCCCCTTGTCCCCTTGTTTGTACCTGTGCAGGGCTCTATGCTCCATAGGGTATTCTGTGTGTTTTTCAGTGAGGTCCTGTTCCAGGTGGGGTGATTCCCCACTTTCTGGGGCCTAGGCTGTCAGCACTGAGATGGGGTGTTCTGCTCCTCAGTCTTGGGGACTATAGGAAGAAGTTGCCCCTGCCTCACACTCATTGTTAAGACCCCTTCTGTTGTTTCGCTCTCTAGCTGCCCCAACTGGAACACTGTTGACCCAGAAGTGAAGGCAAATCTGACTGAACGACAGGAGGATGGGGAGTTCTGGTAAGACCATGGAGGCTCCAGGGGAAGATGCCCCACTCCAATGTACCTTCCTAAAAAGTTGCCAACCAGAGTATCAGCCACCAGTGAGTTCAACATGCCAAGGGCACTGTGGCATGGCATCCAGGCTCTGTTGTTTTGGATATATCATAAGTGCCTGGCATGGTGGTACATTCCTGTGATCCTAGCATTCTAGTTGAGGCAGGAGGACCTCAAGTTTGAGGCCAGGCTATATAGCCTGGAATACATAGCAAGATCTTTTTTCCAAACAACGAAAAAAAATTCATCCTAAGATCCTGAACAACTGCTTAAATCTCTTCAATTTGTCCTTCTCACCAGTGGGGCTGGCAAACTGAGCAACTTCACAAACAGTGAAGGCTGAGAGGAATTCCTTCAGTAATATCCAGACCCCAAGGGAAAACAGGGAGAAAGATAGGACTTTTCTCCCTCACCCATTCCTGGAGTCTTCTTGGCCCATTAAGAAACCCATTGCTCCCTTAGTGAGCAGAGAGGCACTGACTGACTGTGTGCACACCCACCCCACAGACCACCCACAGTGCCTACTGTTTTCCCTGAGAGCCCATCTGTTGTCTCATTTTTTTTTTTTTTCTGTCTTTTTGAAGCAGGGTCTCCCTGTAGCCCCAGCTGTCCTGGAACTCACTATGTAGACCAGGCCAGCCTTGAACTCACAGAAATCCTCCTGCCTTTGCCTCCCAAGTGCTGGGACTACAGGCATGTTGTCTCATTTTTTATTTATTCATGGCTCCCATTTTACGTCTGAGCTCTCTGGGCTGCAGAGGGGCCTCAGTAACCTCAAAATCACCCAGTTAAAAAGTGGCAGTTTCAGGACTAGATTTGGAACTGGATTTCATGGAGCTACTCTGGCTGGCTCTTAGCCTGACCAGGTACAAGGCCAAGGCTGGCCCTGTGTTCTCCTGTAACCCCGGATACCCTGTCTCTGCTTTGCCAGGATGTCTTTTGGTGACTTTCTAAGGCACTACTCCCGTCTGGAGATCTGCAACCTGACCCCTGACACCCTCACTAGTGACTCCTACAAGAAGTGGAAGCTCACCAAGATGGACGGGAATTGGAGGCGAGGCTCCACAGCAGGGGGCTGCAGAAACTATCCAAGTAAGGGCTGCAACCATGTGAGGGTGCCACCACATGATGCTGGGCAGACATGGCACCCAAACCCGATCGATGTGCCACAGCAGCCCAGTGGTTCCTACTCACCCAGTCGGCTTCCTCTTCCTTTGCCCTGGGCCTCTGTCTCAAGACCCTTCTCTGTTTTTTCAGCCCTGCTGCCTCCTGTATTCATTTACCTCCTAAAAGATTAGCTGATTCCATGATGTTCCCTCTGGGTTCTAGACCCCATGACACCTGTAGTCCTCACCTGGCTCTCAGAGGCAGTGCTCAGTCCCAGTTCACATCTTACTACCCTAAGCCCAAGGGTCTGAGCCCTCACCTACTGCACTCATTTGTTTCCCACACACCGGATTCTCATTGCTGTCTGCAACCCTCTTTGCCAAGTTCATTCAAAAAGTGTTGACTGAGCTGAGCTCAGGGGGTAAGGATTTCTCCTCCGCCTCAGCCTTTGTTGATCCCCTTGTTGACCTCTTCTGTCATCTTGATGGCTCAGACTATCCCTACCTTAGAAACTGTCTGATTTTGATAACAGCTGCCAGTTGTAGGGTGACGTGCACATGGGGTGCTAGGAGCTATCCCCAGTAACTTCTTATATGTTATTCATCTTCCCAACAAACTTATTTCCATCTTTAAGGTGATGGGACTGGGACTTAGAGTAGATAAGTGGCTGGCCTAAGGCTCCAGATCTTGCTGGGATTTGAACCCAGGTAGGAAGACTATAGTGTCCTCTTGCTCTGGAGGCAGATCGTGATCATAGTTTGATTCTCTGTTGCCTGGTATACCAGTCCCACAGAACAAATAGACTGGGGCTAGCTGATCAGTGGGGCCAGCCACAGTTTGCAGTCACCAGCTACCAGTTCCAGAGGCCACTGTGGGGAAGCCCATCTGCCACCCACAAAATCACCCTGCACCAAATGGTTTAGGAGTCTGCAGATAGTAAGTGAACTAATTGTTAGATTTAGGAGGGAGGAAAAGGAAGGAGTTTAAAGTTTAGAAATAAGAGTCAGAGCCAGACTTGCAACAGGCAAGGAATGTGCTCCCTGGATTCAGGAAGCTCAGCAAAAGGGCTGACAGCTCTTTTCCTCAAAGAATGATTATCTGCGCACTAAAGAGAGAAGTCTGGTTTTATATAGGAACTCAGCTGCACACAGCTGGAAGAGTTAACTCTGTGCCAGGGTCTGGCGTCCTTGAGGGTCTCTTCTCAGACAGGTGGGTGAACTAAAGGAGACAGGTGGGCTCCACAAGCAGTCTCAGTTCAGGGAGTGACCAGTTGATAAGGCTTGAGCAAGGCCAGGCTGCTAATTTAGTGCCAGTTAGATACTTTAATGGCTTTCCCTAAGGAGGCTTGTGGCTCTTCTACAATTCACATATGCTATCACTGACGGTAAATGCCCTTGGCTTTGTGTCTCAACAGCATCTATTTAGTGCTACTGAGGGAGCCTAGAGGCTGTCCTATGTAAATGAGCGTTTGCCAATACAACTGAATTTCCAGAAGCAAGGGAGCCTGTGGCACTGTGGCTGACAAGCTCTGCAAGACCACACTTTTTTTTTTTTTTTAGTCTTTTTTTGAGACAGGGCCTCCCTGTAGCCCCAGCTGTCCTGGACTCACTATGTAGACCAGGATGGCCCTGAACTCACAGAGATCCACCTGCCTCTGCCACCACACCCAAGACTACGCTTTTAACTCTACTGCCAGAGGTCATTTCAGGATGATAGGCAGTCAGCATTATTACCCCAAACAGGAGTGACTCAGGGCCTTCCTGAAAATGGGTGTTAAAAGTGGGTATGTTAGAGACACCATGAAGATGGTCAGGAGACAGAGGCTGAAAGTCCTGGGTTCAATCCCATGTGTGTGGAGGTGGAGGTGGAGGCAGGAGGATCAGAAGTTTAAGGTTATCCTCAGCTACAAGGCAAGTTTGAAGCCAGCCTGGGCTATATGAACTTCTGTCTCAAAAAAAAATAAAATTCCTTTAAGTAAAAGATAGAGCCAAGAGTGGTAGCTCACACCTTTAATCACAGCAGTTAGGAAACAGATCTCTGTGAGTTCCAGGCCAGCCAGGACTATGGGAGACCCTGTGCCAAAAACCTCAAATTAAATTGGGAGAGAGGAGAAGGGAGAGGGGAGAGGGGAGAGAACCAGAAGGATCCATTTCTTAATGAGGAGTGCAGGCTTTGCCTCCATGGCCCGTCTCTACCAGTACCCACCCACCAGGGGCTGTAGTCTCCCTCCCCTCTGCTTCCTCTGCTTCTTGTCTCCTACCACCTCCTCTCTTCTGCATCCTTCCCCCAGCTGCCTCTAGCCCCAAAGCCAGGGCCCATCCCAGAACTCTCTAGCCATTGACTCAGGGATGGGCTCTCCGTCCCTGTGCCACAGACACCTTCTGGATGAACCCTCAGTACTTGATCAAGCTGGAGGAGGAGGATGAGGACCAGGAGGACGGGGAGAATGGTTGCACTTTCCTGGTGGGCCTTATCCAGAAACATCGGCGACGGCAGAGGAAGATGGGCGAGGACATGCACACCATTGGCTTTGGCATCTACGAGGTACGAGCCAAACGGGGTGGCCTCTGCCTTTCCTCCCCTTTGCCCTTGGCCAGTCTCAACCCCAGCTACACAGACCCTAGAGATATAATGGGACAGAGGACAGGGGACTTGATCAAGCCAAAGTAAAGCCACCAGCCTGTCCAGGCTTAGCAGCAGCTCACACAAGGTCCCCCAAGCTGGTTTGTGTCACTAGGGACCTCCCAGCCCTCCCTAGGCCCCCATAGTCAGCCTTCTGGGATTCCCATGCTTGGAAAAGTCCTGGTGTCTTTTCATACCCTGTAGTCCTGGCATTCTGGCTTGGCAAACTCCAAAGAACTAAGAAGACTTAAGCTAGAACAGAATATTCTGGAACATACCAAGAAATATAAGAGCTAGATTGGGCCAATAGGTCAGAGCCCAGCCAAGTCTTTGTCTTGGATCAGGGAGAGCCCAGAACAGAATTTTTAAAAAGGGTCATCATACCTCTCTGGGCTCTTCCAGCTGGAGGCCCACTCCCACGGGTGCCCTCACTACCCACGGGGCCTTCTTTTATTCCAAGCCGACAGGAAGCCAGGCCTGCCAGCCGCACCAGAGGGCAGCCTTGCCATAGCCATCTTCCTTCTCTCTTCAAGCTGAAAGCCGACTGGGGCTGGGGCCAGGAGACCTGACTCCATGCAAGGGAGGGACAGCTCTGCTGTGCAGAACACAGCTTGTGCCGTCTTGGTTGGCAGTAAGAGATGAATGGAGGAAGGAAGACACTGGGGTGGCTGACTAGGTGCCTTTTGGTTTGATGGGTTAAAACTAAAGATTTGCTAGGCTTTTTCTGGTGCCTCAAAACTGCCTCATCACTCCTCCATCCCCACGTTCAGTATGGTCACCAGGTAGTCTGAAATTGGCTTTGGGAAATGGCAAATACTATCAAGCAGGGCTTCTACCTACTAACTCCAAGAGCCAGTTCCTAGCCCAGTGGGGAACTCAGATGGGTATCAGGGAGAGGCTTTGACTCCTGTGTTTGCTCACCCATCACTGGTAGTGTGGCTGCCCCTGCCTGGCTACTGATCTGAGCCCTGTCCACCCACCTGAGAAATGGCGTTGGACAAATAGCATCAGTTGTACAATACACATAGTCCCGGGATTTGCAGCCACTGAAATGGAAGCTGAGGACTTCAGACCTAGGCAGAACAGCTCCAAGGAAAATGCAAAGTGAATTGTGCCAGCCCATGCATGCACTTGGGAATCCAGTCGTGGACTTTGGTGTTGAGAAGGACTTTGGTGGTCATTCGGTCCTATTTTAAAGATAAGGAAACTGAGGCCAATAAGGGGAAGTGACTTGCTGGAGGAAATACATACAGGCTGGATGTGGCTGGCCCTGCCTATTGCTTCCCTGGTGAGAAGCGGGTATGGGTTTTGCCACAGCTGGCTGGTGATCATGGATAAGTCACCGCACATCTCCAAACTGTTTCTTCATGTGCTAAAAGGTGGTAAGTAAGGGCCCATCCACCATATCACCAGGCCATGAGAGAGCTCTTGTTTCCAATGTGGCCGAAGTGCTTTGAGTTGCTTGGAAAACAGTTCCCGTGTTCACTTAGTTGATAATGGAGAAACTACAGAGAAAAGGGCAGCAAAGGAGACATGTCCCGTGCTGGCGTTTGCACTCTGCTCCCCAAAATCTGAATCTGGTTTCCTTTATTTTGCAGGTTCCAGAGGAGGTATGTCCAGCATGTGTAAGCCACTGTCCCCTGGGGTTCCCACTTCCAACATGACTGAAGATTAACCTGCCAAAACTCAGGGAGTAATACGGGCTTGGGAGGGTCTGGTGGCCGAGGGATGAGTCCCTGTCCCCTCTACGGCCCTGTGGAGGAGGGTTCAGTTCAGGGTCTCACTGGACTAAGCTCAGGACAGGGTATCGGAGAGTCTTTTGGGGTTTACTCCCTCCTTATGACTCAGAAAAGACTGTGCAGGATTTAGCTCTGGTTAACACCCCACCACCCTCAGACTGCAGGAGGCTTGTCACAGACGTCTGTGTCTCTGAGAACAGCAGGAAAGCCAGCACAGGACATGTCTCCTTTGCTGCCCTTTTCTCTGTAGCTTCTCCATGAACTGCACATTGTACCCAGGGTGGCAGTGTAGAGAGGGTGGCCAGGACCCAACTCCCAGGCTGTGTGACCCTGGACACTTGACATCCTCGCTGAGCTTCAGTTTCCTTTTTAGTAAAAGTGGCCAGCCATCTAGCTACCTTCTTGGACACTGTGGGCATAAATTACATTATACCAGAGCTCTGAGGAGGCCACAGTTAACACTAATGAGAGGGTGCACAGCAGCCATATGACTCGAAAGGCCAGGTATTAAATGGCCACACCGGGCGCCCTGACCCACCCACGGGCACCCTGCTTCTAAACACTGTCTTGTGAGTTGTGGCCCCAGCCTTGGGTCATATCTGGTTTAGTGGCTGAGCTCCCTTCTCAGCCCCCAGCCTTTCTTTCCTTCTATTAGTGTGTGATATGCCACACAGAACTGACCTGGACCCTTTGTGACTCTCAGGCCTCTAGTACCCTGAGAGTCACCTAGAGCAAGACTGAGGAGCCTTGTGGAAAGATGGCCTGGCTGTGGACATTCTGGTGGTGGGGGAAGGGAGCTCCTGTTGCTCACAGCTGAGTTCCTCAGCAGGCATTTGTTTAGAGCTGAAAGTTTTCTTTACATCTAAAATGACCCAGGCGTGATCCCCAGTATCCCTTTGTCTCCGTGAATGAGTGGCAGCACGTCTTGTAGCTCCTTCCTCATTCCTCTGTTTAATCGTCAGCTAACCGGCCAGACCAACATCCACCTTGGCAAAAACTTCTTCCTCACCACCCGAGCCAGGGAGCGGTCAGACACCTTCATCAACCTCCGGGAGGTGCTCAACCGCTTCAAGCTGCCCCCGGGAGAGTACATCGTCGTGCCTTCCACCTTTGAACCCCACAAGGATGGTGATTTCTGCATTCGTGTCTTCTCAGAGAAGAAAGCTGACTACCAGTAGGTGGCCAGGTCCCTCTTTCTGCCATCTCTCCCTGCTTCCAGCCCTGGTCTGCTCTTCGATTTTATCTGACTATAATATTGAGCTACCTTGACAGGTTCGTGTGGGGATAGGTAGGCTGGAGAGCTTTTAATGTTCTGTTCATCGAAGCAAAGGAAAAAGCCACTCAAGATATGTTGGGATGGAATGGAATGGCTGGGGAGTGAGTGACTTGCAGTCCATTTCACAGTCCATCTCTGAATTACCAAGTTTTTAATTTCATTTTTAATGACCCTATTTATGAGCCCATGCCCTTCATAGCCCTTGCTTTCCATGGGCTTAGGAGGGCCCCCGAGGCTGTGACAATGACGGTCCCTGTCATGAAGTCTCTGCTGTCTCCCCTCCACTCCCAGCTGTTTAGGAATGCTTCTGGACTGATAGCACAGTTTCCTGCCATTGTCCCTGTGCCCTCAATTCACAGTAGCTTCTGTCACTTCGGCCACTGTCCCAGTCTTGGGCACTCAGATGGATGTTTAGTTGGTAGAGACAGAATGAACCTTGAGCAATGTAAGCAAAAGGAAATTCACTGAAAGGCTGTGGGAACCCCAGCACTGACGGGGGACCAGGGACAGGATGGGAAGGGTAAGAGAAAGCGTGTGCTGGAGGACCATGGATGGGATGGCCTGTGTGAAGGCCCAAAGGCCCCATAGAATGTGTCTGACAAGCAGGGCTTGTGTCAGTCCCCAGCTGTCACCTCCTGTGAAGGGATGAGGCAGAGGGAGAACTGGGAATCGCCTTTGCTCCAAGATCATACATGGCAGAGAAGGCGTTTCAGTGCCTGACAGCTGCGAACCAGTGTCACTAGAGTGTGACCATAGCTCCCTACCATCAGAGGCCCTTCTGTTTTGCTGAAAGTTACTTCAGGGAAGGGGCCTGCCTTCTCTCCCTGGAGGAAGCCTAGTGTGTTCAGATTAGTCTTCCCTGATGACATGGGGACAAGACCTGGAGTCACTAGAATGACACCGTGGCTCTTGGTTAAACACTATCCTTCCCTAGCCAAAAGCCTCTATGCCAGGGGAGGGTCAGCCCCCCGCTGTCCCCAGGGTGACCTTCCTGCCCTACTAGAATGACACCGTGGCTCTTGGTTAAACACTATCCTTCCCTAGCCAAAAAGCCTCTGTGCCAGGGGAGTGTCAGCCCCCCGCTGTCCCCAGGGTGACCTTCCTGCCCCTCATGACTGCTGCTCTGACCCAGGATATTCAATCTTCTGCTCTAGATCCCAGCTGGCAGCACTTAGAAGTCCCCTTACCCTTTTGTGAGGCTTCAGCCCTGCATACAGCATTCTTAATAACCCAGTTTAAGACCACAGATGCCCAAGGAAGCCCCTTATAGCCTTAGCTACCCTCACTGAAGGACACACCTATATAAGCAACCATGTGCTAATAAGCTAATCACTGCCAGCAGGCTCCCCAGGGTGTGCTCCAGCCAATCTGGATGTGGGACAAGCAGGCAGAGGTTCATACAGGCAAGTCTCATAAAAGTCTTTCAATGGCAAAGAGTGTTTTAGATGGAACTTCAAGTCTGTCCCTTGAGGCTGGGGATATAGCTCAGTGGTAGAGTACTTGCCTAGCATTGCAAGACCCCAGAACTTAAAAACAAACAGAAAAACAGCTGTCAAGAAAAAGTCAGGCTAGATTTTAAGCGAGTTCTCTGGAACCCTAGCTCTGTACCACATGGGAAGACTATGCTGTTCAATCAGAACCTAAAACCATCAGAGTATTTCTGCCTCAGTATCTGCTGTTGAGGGCTACTCTGTCACAGAAACTTGGGATGCAGAGATCCCCTGCCACCACATGCTGGAGTTAAACTCTGCTCTTCCATTTTAACAGTAGCTTCTACTGCGCTTTCTGTTCACCCTCTCCAGCCTTCGAGTAACGTGAAATTTCCTTCTTGCCACCACATGCTGGAGTTAAACTCTGCTCTTCCATTTTAACAGTAGCTTCGACTGCGCTTTCTGTTCACCCTCTCCAGCCTTCTAGTAACATGAAATTTCCTTCAATTTGCAGGGCTGTTGATGATGAAATTGAGGCCAACATTGAAGAGGTATTTTTTAATTAACTTCCTAATTCTACTTACTCTGTCCTAGACCCAGAGAGCAAAGGGCTAAGACAGAACCACCAGGGGCTGGGAGTCCCTTGGACTGCTGAACACAGTTTGAAAGCAAGGCTACTGCCCTGCACCGACTAGAGCCGTGCAGCCCCAGGGAAGGTGGTGGTAGTGTCGGGACCTGCTTGTCCCTTGATCTCTAAGGCAGAGTTTGTCCACATACAGGAGGTTGTGAGGAAGGACAGAGCTCCAGTGCCTCACTGAGCAGTGCTGAGTCACTGCCCTTGCTGGACCTCACTTTTATCATCTATAAAATGGATTCACAGGATGATAAGATTGCTCAGGTTTCCTAGTATTCTGAGAATGAATGATTCAGTGGTAAATTCTGATGGGCTTTTTTAGAGATGTAATTCAGGAATTTCACCCTAGGTCCAATCTTAAATCCAAGTCTAAAGGCCTTACTAGAGAAAGTCTTCTCCCTCCTTTTCTCTGAGGCCCTGAGTTGGCTCCACAATGGACTAGAAGCCTGGTGACTGTCATGTAACCAACCAGTGGGAGAATGAATGGTTTCCAAGGGCCTCAGGAGCTCTACTCACTAGCCATTGCCAGAATGCTTCCAGAACATCCACTTATCTTCCCACCTCTAGGTTCCTGTAGAAGTAGATCATACAAAGCCACTTTGGTTGGATATTAAAGACATTTGGAATTAAGAGAAATTAAAGGGTAGCTCTTTCCCACATCATTTACACTCCCTTTCAAGTGCTTAAAATGAAAAAAAAAAAGAAAAAGAAAAAGCTGGGCATGTTGGTAAACACCTGTAATCCCAACATCTGAGAGGCGGAGGCAGGAGGATCAGGAGTTCAAATCCATCCTTGGCTTATAGTGAGTTTAAGGTCAGCCCAGACCACTTTGAGACTGTTTAAAAAAAAAAAATCTTAAAAGACAAGTATGGTGGCACATACGTGTAATCTTAGCCCTTGGGTGGCAGAGGCAGAAGAATTGGGAGTTGAAGGTCATTCCCCAACTACATAAGGACTCTGAGGCCTACCTGGAATACATGAGATCTTGTATCAGGGGGGGAAAAAAAAAAAGAATCTTAATTCTTTTCACTGCCCTTCACTCAAGGTCAGTGTCCTTAGACTCTGGCCTGAGGAACAGGAAGACATTGGAGATTCTGAAAGGGGAGGAGAAGCTGCTATGGAAGGAGAAGGCACCTGCTGTCATGCTCTGCTCTAATACACTTTCCTGTTTGTGCCTCCCCTTCCAGATTGACGCCAATGAGGAGGACATCGATGATGGGTTCAGAAGGCTGTTTGCTCAGCTGGCTGGGGAGGTAGGTATCCCCAAAGCTCTGCTGACATCAAGGAAAAGCAATCATTCTTGAGGAGACTTTAGTTTAAGGGGAAAGACCAAGTGAAAGCAGAGGAACCTTGGTTGTAGCTTGGACCTCAGCTCAGAGCCCTGGCCCACATCCTCTCAGCCCTCTGCAGGCTTCCAGGGCTTCTCTGAGGGCCCACTCTGGCTTTGTTCTTCCCTCTTTTCCCCCTTTCTTAGGATTCCTGGCCCACTTATTTCTCCTGTTATCTTGACTCCCCTAAGCATACTTGGGGGAGCTGGAAGGGTCCAGTTCTCTAGAGTGTGCACAGTATGCTCCAGAGTGCTAGGCTTCCTGTTCTTAGAATAATCCCAAGTCCGCTACAAAGTTATTCAGCCAACAACTCCAAAAGCAAAGTCGGCTTCCTCTGCTACGTGGAAGAATCTAGCTCTCTCCAGGGTCACCACAAAGTCTGTCCTCTGTTTCTCAGGCGCATCAAAGCGCTAACCAGATGTTGCTTGCTCTGCGTCCTCACCTGCCTCCTCCCGCCCAGTCTCTCAAAGGAAGGGACCTCAGAGAGACTTCCTCCACTGATCAAATCCCACACACACCCTTCCATACACATACCCTGGGACTTGTCCTTAAGCTACTCAAATGCGCCTAAGTAAACAGAGGTACCTGGGCCACTTCTGGGGAGCCCTGGCATAATGATCCTAGGGAAGGGATGAGCCAGCTTAAAGGCAGCTGGTCTTACACAGTGTCAGGATACCTGAGCTTTGAGTTGTAAAGGATGAAAAAGGCCTGCCAGGTGGGAGGAATGGTGAGAGAACCAGGTTGGGGAAAACATATGAGCATATTCCCTACTGCAGAGAAGTGGTGACTGAACGCCACCTAGCGTATGCTATACATTTAAACACTGCTAAACACAAGGCAGAACTGTGAGCTGGGGACACTGCACCAATACCACCTGGGGCATTAGAAATGCGAACAGATCCCACCTAAAGTGCCCATTGTGTGTCTGCTCTACCTTGGTTCACCCATAATGATGCTCTTGTCCTGTGCCCACAGGATGCAGAGATCTCGGCCTTTGAGCTGCAGACCATCTTGAGAAGAGTTCTAGCCAAGCGTAAGTGTCCCCTCTGCAAATCCCTCATCATGCTCCTCCCCTGGCAGACATGAGGGAACATGGGAATCCTCCCTTCGCAAACACACTGGCTATTGTGGCTAAACCATCACACTGCTTCCTGTGTAAATATTGCCTGTGTCACTCTCAGCACCAGGGAAGACTTGGTTGGAGGAGACTCTGAAGTGACAAGAGAGGACAAAGTTTCCAGGGTCTGGAGATGAAGGATCACATCCACCTTCTACCTACTTGCTCTGTGGTCTAAACCAAGTTATACAGACTGTCTGACTTACTTGTTTCCTTAACTGCAAAATATGAGTATCTTGACCTCCCCCCATCAGTGGTTGAACATCATTTCATGAGGTAACATGTAAAACCTGCCTGGCACAGAGCCTGCACTCCATAAATGGAAGTTATAATGACTAATTGGTAGGAAAAAGCTAAGTAAACCCAGATGATGGACACCAGAGTCCTGAGTTCTTGACTTTTCTGCCTGCTAGACTGAGTGATGACATCTCACTGATTGGCCATTGGAAGGAAGATAATGCACCATCTTATATTTGAAGTCTCAACTCCCCATCTTGAGTTTAAATGAGCTTCATCTGGTCAGGATTTTGCTGAGAGAAGTGTCACTTCACTTGAGCCAGTGGGCCAAGCAAAGGATTTCTACACCCTGGAAATGTCTGTTCTTGGCCTAAGTTGGGGGGTTCCCATAAAGAATGGACAAAGTTTGGGGCTGGAGAGATGTCTCAGTGGTTAACAGCACTGACTACTCTTGCAGAGGACCCAGGTACAGTTCCTGGTGCCCACATGACAGCTAACAACATCTGTAGCCTCAGTTCCAGGGGATCTGATGCTCTCTGGCTTATGCAAGCATTGCACGCACCTGGTGCACTTACACACTTGTAAGCCAAACATTGTGTCCTAGTTTGTTCTTCATTGCTGTGACAAAATACTCTGACCACTACCAACTTGGGGAGGAAAGGGTTTATTCAGCTTACATATCCCGGGTCACAGTTCATCTGGGAGCCCAAGGTAGGAACTCAGGGCAGGAACCTGGAGGCAGGAGCTGGAGCACAGGCCATGGAGGAATGCTGCTTACTAGAGTGGTCCCCTGGCCCCTGCTCAGCCTGCTTTCTTATGCAACACAGGCCCACCTGCCCAGGGGTGGCACCACCCACAGTGGGCTGGGCTCTCCCACTTCACTCATCAAGAAGATGCCCCTCAGACATGACCACAGGCCAGTCCAATAGAGGAAATTCCCCAATTGAGGCTCCCTCAACCCAGGTGTGTCAAGTTGACACTAAAGCTATCCAGCACAATGCACACATTTTTTAAAAAATGGACAAAAAATAGGTGGAGTCTTTATAATGAAGTAAGACCAAGGTTATGACAAGCCTTTTTCAGCTTGTGACTAATTGTGTGTGTGTGTGTGTGTGTGTGTGTGTGTGTGTTTTGAGATAGGACCTCATACCTGTAGCCTAGGATGGCCTCCTTAAACTCAATCTGTAGCTCAGGCTGGCCTTCAATTCTCAGCAATTCTTTTACCTGAGCCTCCCGAGTGCTGGAATTACAGGTGTGAGCCACCATGCATGGCCTTGAAGCTGTTTCTTCCCCCTCCCTCTCTCCCACTTTCTCTCTCTTTCCTCTCTCCCCTCCTCTCTCTCCCCTCCTCTCTCTCCCTTCCTCTCTCCTCCCCCTCCCCCTCCCCCTCCTCCTCTTCTTTTTCTAAGACAGGGTCTCACTATGTAGCCTTGGCTGACCTGGAACTTCCTATGTAGACCAGGCTGACCTCAGATTCACAGAAATCTGCCAGCTTCTGCCTCACACATTCTTGGAGTTTAGGCATGTACCATCATGCCCCATCTTTTAGCTGTTTCTTAAACAAAAAATACCAAAAGACTAATGATCAATTCCCTTATTGGTGGTCACCACTAGGGAAGGAGGAGGAAATGTACATTTCCCCCCCTAAGAATTACACATCATGCTGCTTTTGATAAAATAGCAGAGAGGTTAGTGTGAATGTCTGAAGTTATAAACCTGGATGAGAAAAAAACAAATACACACTTTGTGACATCTCAAACATCCGCTGTGGGGGTCATCATGGTAAGTTCCATGGATGTCAGGGGTTTCCATTCCCTCTGATGCCAGCCTCTCATCTGATCCCTCAAGATGAAAGTCAGTCCTCATTTCAGAGTCAAAGAAGAGTCCAAGGCCAGTGGAGTCTTCTGTACCTTGTGTGTGCAGCTCCCAGAGATGAGAAACTGCAGATCGCAGCCTGTGGTCCCTGAACGACAGCTGTAGGAGAGTGTCTGCGACTCACAGAGCACTCTGCCAGCAGAGTCAGGATGGGCAGTTAGTGTCCAGGCAGGCCAATGCAAGGCTTCCCCAGGGCTGTGCTCGGCCATATGCTCCCTCCTCTAGGACAAGGGAATGGTGTTCGGCCTGTAGCTGCCTGGCACAAGGCTGGTCACAGGGCTCCTCAGATGTGTGGCTATACCGCACACAGGAGACAATGTCTTATTGTCCTGCGCAGCTGAAGTTCAGGAAGAGCCAAGCCATGCTTGGTCCAGCCTGCTCCTGGCTGTAGGAAAGCATGTGCTAGGCATGTGCCTCTGAGCTCAGGCCCCTCCCTCCCTGCCTGGTAATTCCAGACTTCTGCCCCAGGGTCTCCACATAGTCCCAAGCCCACAGTCGAGAAGACAATCTAGGTCAAAATATTCTACAAAGACATCACCAAAAGGGTTGCTCCTTATGGACAAGGTGATGGCTCTATGGGTAAAGCTCTTGCTACAGAAGCATGAGGACCTGAGTTTAAATCCCCAGAACCTAAGAAAGATCATGCCTGTGTCCTGGCTTATTAGGAAATCTGAAAGCCTAGAATCTATCCAGGAGCCACTGTGCTCCTATAGTGAGATGGGGAATACCCAGAGGCTTGCAGGCCAATCTGGAGCTAACACAAGAGCTAACAACAAAAAGACCCTGTCTTCAAGGTGGAAGGTGAGGACCAGTACCCAAGACTGTCCTCTCCCCTCTGTACACATGCCATGGCACACCCCCACCCATATGCACACGCATAAACATACTCATGCAAGCACACACATCATCATTATACATACACACATAGAGTTGTTCCTCGTAAAGTCCGAGGGGTATGTGTCAAGGGTCTCATTCCACCTGCCAACCACCTAATAAAACACAGTGGCTCCTGGAGAGATTCTAGGCTCTCAGATTTCCCAGTCAGCTGGGACACAGACAGTTTATAATGACCTTCAGGTGGACAGGCGAAGCATCTATCTTCCTCTCACTGGTCACAGCCTACAACAAATGCTTGTGCCCTCTGGCTGCTTGTAACCACATGCAGTTTTCTACCCTGTAAGTATTAAAAGGCTTAGTCATAACTAGGTGTGGTAGCACACGTCTATAATCCCAGCATGTGTGAGGCAGAAGAATTGGGAGTTTGAAGCTTGCCTGGGCTAAATGGCAAGGCCCTGTCTCAAAGGAAAAAAAAAATAGTCATTTTCATTCTTTTACTTAAAAAATATTATTTATTTTATGTGTATGAATGTATTGCCTACATGTATGTAAGTCCGCCTGTGTTGTATAATGTCCACAGAGGCCAGAAGAAGGTGTCAGATCCTCTGGAACTGGAGTTACGGATGGTTGTTAGCCGCTATGTGGGTGCTGGGAACCGAACCTAGGTCCTCTGCAAGAGCAGCCAGTGCTCCTAACTGTTGAGCCATCTCTCCAGCCCCTACTTATTTTTAAAGCTTGCATTAAAACCATTTGTCTGTGGCAGTTATTCAGAGAGATCAAGCAAATGTGACATCCTTTTTGCTGTCTCATCATGACAGTCTATAACCACATGTGGCTGTTTAAAGTAATCAAGTGGCTGTTGTAGTGGCGGACAGAGAAAGGATCCTTCTGTCTGTAGAGTTCTGTTATACTCATTGCTCTGGAAGATTCTTCTGTCATGCTTATTTTGTCTTTTAGGCCAAGATATCAAGTCAGATGGCTTCAGCATTGAGACCTGCAAAATTATGGTGGACATGCTGGATGTATCCTTTGACAAGCTCCAGAAAACGGAGACTGCAGAGTTAGGGTGTCACACCACAGAGTTCCAGTACATTACTACCTCCTTCTGAACAGCCTGTGTGGCTGCTATAGGACTGTGGCCCACACTGACCTCCCTTGCTAGGGAAGACAGAACCCTCAGATGAAGGAAAGTGAGATGTTACCTTGCGTGCACCTACATAGACTTAGAGTGCAGGCAACCAGCTTGTCAGTCTGGTGCCAGAAAGCTCTGACAGTATACCCACGGCTCTGCCCAGAGTAGTCTCGGTTGCTCCTTGGATGACAGTTTTCTGTTACCTGCCTCATCTAAAGCTGAGCATGGTGCTTAATGCTTGTTAATTCTGGCCCTTGGTGTAGCTGAGGCAGGAAGATTTCAAGTTGAGGCCAACCTGTGCCACACAGCAAGACCCTGAAAACAAAATTCTCCTAGATCCATAGTTAAGGGTCTGCATATATAAGCATTCTTTCTCTTTGTTCTAGTTTGCTCCTGGGCCACCCACCTGTCCCTAAAGTGGACTAATCACACCCCCATTTCTGGTGTTCAGTGATGGTAAAGGACAATCCAAGCTTCTGTGACATTTTATCTATTGGCCTCAGGGTATGCACCTATGATGTCACTCTCTTCACAAGAGGCCTCTTAGAAATACTCCAGATAGGGGCTGGAGAGATGGCTCAGCAGTTATGAGCACTGGCTACTCCTGTAGAGGATGGGTTCCCAGCACTCACATGTTAGCTAACAACCATTCATAACTCCAGTTCCAAGGGATCTGACACCTTCTTCTGGACTCTTCGAGCATTGTACAACACAGGTATAATTACATACATGTAGGTAAAACACACACATACAATAAAAATAAATTAAAAAGAAATACTCCAAATAATTCTTAAAGCATACGGCATGGACCCAGCCATCTGAAGCCCTCTGATATCATCCTATAACAAACTTTTATCAAGATCTGGGGCCCCTGCAGCACCCTTAATCAGCAGGAAGAGAAAGAAAAAAGAGAGAGAGATACACAGAGAGGGTTATTTTGTATAATATACTATAAGTTAAATTACTTATATCTCTATTAGCACCTTGCTTTATGATATCATGATACAACTCAGATGATTTATATCATTATTTTCCTCATCATACCAAGAGGTATCTATTCTGTTTATTGTAATTACACCTGTAATCTCAGCATTTGGGAAGTGGTGGCATGAGGATCAGGAAATCAAGGTCATCCTCAGCTACATACTAAGTTTGAGGCCAGCCCAGGCTACATGAGACCGAAGATGAAACTACGGGGAACTGGAGAGATAGCTCAGCAGTTAAGAGCACTGACTGCTCTTGCAGAGGACCCAGGTTTGATTCCCAAAACCCACGTGGCAGCTAAAAACCGTCCATAACTCCAGTTCCAGGGGACCGAATGCCTTCTGACCTCCTAATTCCACCCCCACTCAGCACATACCCCAGAGGTAACGCCACCTGTTCTGCTTTGGATCATGGTTCTAATGATTTTACATATTCCAGAAAATTTACCGGGAAATCGACGTTGACAGGTCAGGAACCATGAATTCCTATGAGATGCGGAAGGCGCTGGAAGAAGCAGGTAGCTCTTCATCCCCCAGCTCCTCTTGTTCCTCTGTCTGTACAATGTTGAACACTTATTCTAGACCATACAGTATAACACCTTGTTAGAGGATTTAGAGATGTAGAGAGCTCTTGCCTAGCATGCGTGTGACACTGAGTTCCATTCCCAGCACCACAAAAAGTTAAACAAACCAGCCAACAAAGAAAAACACCAAAATTTCATTGGTAGTTTTCACGGACATAAAGCAGCTACGAGTCTTAGTACAAACATACAAAAAAACAAAACAAAACAACTAACTGGTCAAATTAAATGCAGTCCCAAAGGCCCTTCCTTGTGCCCTCCCGAATCCAAGTTTCATTTGGAGGAAGCTGGCAGGGCAAGCTGGCAAAGCCAGCATCTCCTGAGGCAGCATCTCCCCGTACTCCTCACACTCCTTTGTGCTGCAGAGTGCAGAGTTGACTTGGTAGAAACCGTCTCAGCTCAGCCCTTCAGGAAAACCTCACCAGAATTAGGTATCAGTCAATAGGATGTGAGCTCGGCAAAGATGAGCAGAAAGATTGGTTTGCTTTGTGGACAAATCTGACAGAGTGAGACCCAAATAACAATGGTTTACATAGGATACATCTTCTTAAGCAACCCAGGCTGAGATGGTGCCTCCTGTTGGCACTCCAGGCTTCTCCTACCATGTTGCTTTACTACTGCCTGGGGACCTGGGACAAGGGGTTACCACCATCACGTGCTGTCAGCAGATCCATAGAAAGCAGGCTCTGTGCTAGACAGCTTCAGTTGTCAACCTGACACTGCCTCCTGTTGGCACTCCAGGCTTCTCCTACCATGTTGCTTTACTACTGCCTGGGGACCTGGGACAAGGGGTTACCACCATCACGTGCTGTCAGCAGATCCATAGAAGGCAGGCTCTGTGCTAGACAGCTTCAGTTGTCAACCTGACATACCTGGGTAGAGGGAATCTCAACTGAGGAATTTCCTCCACTGGATTGACCTGTGGCCATGTCTGCGGAGCATTTTCTTGATTGTTGAGTGGTGTGGGGCACTCAACTGTGGCAGTGCCACCCCTAGTGGACTGTGAGCTGTAACCAAAATAAACTGGTTCCTCCCCAAGTTTTGGTCAGTGTTTTCTACAGTAATAGAAAGCAAACTAAAACAGGGTCCTTTTCTTAAAGACATACCCATCACTTCTACTCATACATTCTATTGGCCAGAACTTGCTCACAGTGCTCAGATGGCTGCAGGGGAAGCTGGGAAATGTAGTCTTCACACTAGACAGCCATGGGCTCATAAATGCCTCTTCTGCTCACAAGGGGAGAATTCATTTTAGCTTACCACAACAATTTCTGTCACCTATATCTGGGAAGAAACTAATCTCCAAAATGATTTAGGACTAACTAAACAAAAGATTGGAGCATGTTTTTCAATTTAGGGCACCATGACCATAGAAAAAGAATAGGCTTAAGGAATGCTTTCCTTGTTAGTGAGGAAACAGGCAAGGTAACAGTGACCAGTTTGGAGACAGAGGAACACCAGAAGGGATTGGCATTGTGAAATTAAACCAGCCACTCAGCCCAGAGACAAAAGCAAGTATAGGTGTAATTTAAAGTGTTACATCCATTCCAGTGCCTGGGAGGTGGGGCCTCATGCTCAGTAGAGCTAGGTGGCGGGCCAGCCTGCTACTCAGCAGAACTAAGCAGCAGGGTCTGGTACTCAACTGGCAGTTGTTTGTTCACTTACCTTTAGGTTTCAAGCTGCCCTGTCAACTTCACCAAGTCATCGTTGCCCGGTTTGCAGACGACCAGCTGACCATCGATTTTAATAATTTTGTTCGGTGTTTGGTTCGGCTAGAAATACTATTCAGTACGTGGCTCTTTCCATTCAGTTCACCCACTGTTAAGGCCTCCCTTGTCTTTGACCATGGGTGTAGTCATCAGACCTATTGGTCTGCAAGTTGGGAATGAAATTCCTTCTTTCATTAATTTGAGAGGAAGAGAGAAGGAATAGAAACTTGTGGCATCCAAAGAAATCAGCAGCCAAACTGGGGTATCTGCATTTTTGCTCCTTCGTTTTTGACACCTGCTTTTCCTTTCTCTACCCTCCACAGAGATATTCAAGCAACTGGATCCCGAGAACACTGGGACGATACAGCTCGACCTTATCTCTGTAAGTTTGCAGCTCCCATGAAGCCCAGCTCCTGTGGGAGTCAGAATGTTGCTCCTTGGGTGGCCTGCTTTTTTAAGTCTTGCTTTGATTTTTTTTCTGATCTTCTGGGGATAGGCCTATAAGTGGTTGTAAAGTCCCATGATGCACTTTGAATTCCAAACTGTTGATCTTCTCAAATCCAGGAAAACACACTTGGCTCCCTCTTCCCATGAACTTTGATTACAGCACAGCACCAGGTTAAACTAAGATGGCAGGATGGATACCAGAGGGCTTAGAGAGAACTGCTGATTAGTGTTCGCCAGAAAGGGCTTATGGAAAGAAACCTTTTGGGTGAAATTCAAGTTGAGTTTTGGAAAGATCTGCCTTCCCAGGTCAGATCTACTTAAAGAATTAGCTGAGAAAAGTTCTTTACTTTCTGATCCCTTTAAAATGAAACTAATAACTATAAATACGTTTCCGTTTGTCATTATACATCCACGTGTCTCAATATCAGCAACACCCATGTCAAATGATTAATACAAATTCAGTTGGTATGCCAACTTCACCAAAGTAAAGCACAGAAAGTTCTTTTGTCATCCTGCTGACAGATCACATTCACAGCAGCAGCTGGGGACACAGCTCAGTAGTGAGTGCTTGCCTAGCACACACAAAGCCCTAAGTTCGAGTGCCCGCACTGAAGAAAAGGATAAAAGCAGCATGCTTTACATCCATGGCCACATGACTCCAGTTGGTGACAGAGCCTGGCAGGGCAGAGGCAAAGAAGGATGCAGTGTTGGATAGCAACAGCAGTCATCCCTGCTCTTCCATGTGACACAAAGGAGCCAAAAGGCAAGGAGGGCAGGGCTAAGGGACCAGCAACTTTTTCCCTTGAATTCTGAACTCTGGAGGAAGCCAATTCACTATTCAATTTACTATTAAACATTATAAAGTACCCTTATCTAACTGGAAGTAGTTTAGCTAGTTACAAACACTAGTTGCTTACAGCTATCTGTATTATTCTTTCTGAGATAGCAATTTGAAGGCAAGTCAATAGAACTGTGGCATGAAACGTCATGCTAGATTCTGGGAACTCTAGCCTTTTATCTTCCCGCTGGGTATCCAACTCATTCCCTCACCCCCACTCCCTGCCCACCCATGCTGGCCTGCCTTCCCAGACCAGCCCCTTCTTAATTCCCAAGAAACATCTTTCATCCACTGGCTTTCACTCACACCCCCACCGGCTCCTAAAGCTCCCTTAGGTTTTGCCAAGGAGGGGTCTAAAAACCCCTCTCCCGCTTCGTGTTGAAGTGATCTTCAACTTTAGTTATGGGTTCCATCTCCCAGGAGGGCTTTTTGGGAAGTTCTGATGACTGGGCGTATTCCAAGCCGATTCAATCAGAATCTGATTGAAATTTCCCACATCACTCTAGTATAGAACCAAGGTTGAATGAACCCCAGTGGATTCTGGATGTCCACACTCCAGACTAACTTCTGATGTGATACGCTGAGACAGAGGTGTGAAAACACTAGTTCATATGTGTTTTAATTTCTCCCTTTGTGTATTCAGTTAACCTTGCAGTGACTACCTGGTTCAAATCACACAGACCTCTGACCTGTAAAAAGCTGGACTCCAGAAGTTAGGTAGAAAAAAACAAAAACAAAAACAAACAAACAAAAAAACCCACTATTAGAACACTGATATCTTATCCTTGAGTAAGCTTTCTGGCACAACAACTTTCCAGAATAATCCAAAGGTGCTTATATAGCCTTTCATTTTAACAGCAGTCCCTAAAATGAGTCTTCTTTCTTCCCACAGTGGCTCTGCTTTTCAGTACTCTGAAGTTACAACTGATCTGCCCAAGGACTTCTCATGAAAGAAAATCAGTCAGTGCCTGAACTTTTGAACACTTTGTATCTGGACCTTGAACTTATGAGAACATTTACTTAAATGGATTATTAAACCTGAAAAATAATACCGTCTGAGATAGCGGAACTTTCACATATAAGATTTGGGTATCATTAAACTAAGTGCAAATGAATCGCTTAACCCTTAATAAGCTCCAAAAAAGCTTTGAGTCTGTAAATAGTATACACTTTTTACTTTTACACATTTTCCCGTTCATAGCAATATTAAAGCAGGAAGGAAGGCAGAACTATTGACCAGCTAAGCAAACAGTAAATTGGTCTCTAAGGCCACACACAAAGCCTTGCTGGGAATATTTAAAGCAATTTTAAATTTTAAAACACAGTGGTGACATCTGCTACAGCAGCTCAGGAATTGCTACCTGCCTGAAGCAAACTGGGGAATATGTATAGAAAAGTAGTCTAAAGAGTCTAGGGGCCAGGGGTGGGGGTGTGTCCCTGTATTTGGGAGGCTGAGACAGAGGCCAACCTGGGCTACCTGGCAAGACCTTATCGAAAAAAAAGAAAAAAGTTCAGGCAAGAAAACATGCTTGCCTCATTTGGTTCTAACAAGAGATGGGTTTAATGCAATATTAACAGTAAATCACTTTTAAACTCAAGTCCTTGGCCTTACTTGGCCTTACACACTTAAGTCACCACGTGGTAAGGGGACTTGACTCCTGACCAACTGAAGCAGGACACCAAAACCAGGTGTCCAGTCTGCAAAATGGTCATGATAAAGGGCAAAACAAGCTGTTGGCTACCTCAGAGCTATGTCCCACACCACCCCTGGGGATTGTGCCTACAGCTGGCAAGGAAAGAGGTCAGGTCTTGAAACAACTTGAGCTGGCTTCCTGGCTTGATCTTGGGAAACCTTAGCAACATTATAAAAATATCGCCTTGTTGCCTTATCTCCTTCCAAATGTACTGTTAATAAAGAGTTGCCAATGCAGTCAGACCACGCCTCGCCTTTATTCCTGGAGGGTGGCCCCTGTGGAAGAGTTTATGAGCACAGTTACAGCTGGTTTCTGCTTTGAACAGGTCAGCTACCTCTATAACCTCTGTAAATTCACATATGGAGGTATCTTGCCTATAATTAATATGTAGACTACAATGTTTAAAAACTATAGTTCAGAAGTTCTGCTCATTTAACCATAAAGGGCAGCTCTGATTTCAACTGCCTGTCGGTCTCCTTTAAGGCACAAAGATCATGTGCCTCTCAGAAGTCTCCAGTATTACCTGCTAGCTCTGTCACTTAAGCCAGCCCCCACTGGGATAGGGAGGGACCCAGCACGAGAGCCAAGAAAATCCATAAATCACTAACCTAGGGTAGGGCTGTTGCTGATGATACTTAAATAATAACAAAGATAAGATGATTTGATGAGCAAACGTAACCTCTATTTCCTGGCATCACCTCTGGAGTGCAGAGATTACACCTCTGGTGTGAGCCACCATGTCTTTCTAACATCAATTTCTCAATTGAAGTTGGTGCTGCTCCTGCTTGCTGAGTGGATGGGAAGGCAGGAAGAGGCTGGAGAGCTTGAATGTGAAGCAATCCCCAATCACTGGGGTGTGGCCTTCCTCTCTTCAGGGCTGGGAGGAAGCATGGGGTCCTGCTTTAAGCTAGAGACAAGACAGAAGGGTGTCTGATTCCCAAATGGCACAGGGTTACTGCAGACCTGACTAGTTGACCCTCTGCAGCCAGGCCCCTCCAGCTGCACTTTAATCTGGACAGCTGATCTTGCTGGCAACTTTGTTATTTTTGTTGCAGTGGAAGAGTTTAAAAAAGAAAAGAGGTAAATGCTTATCAAGCAAACAGAGAAAAGAATGAAGAAAATGGAGGAAAAGGACCAAACATCCACATAATATAAAACTAGTCAGCGCCCACTTAACAAGGAGGAAATAAACTAAACTTTCTGACCCCACAGGAACTGGCCTAACCTGCACTTTGCACCCCTTCCCTGAACCTTTATCCTGAATTGCAACCCCAGGCCTATCTAACCCCTTTCTGGACTAGGCACACTCATCTCCACTTTTTCCACAGCTCTTGCCCCACAGACTGCATCCTAGTCATATACTCCAAATCCTGGCTCTCCTCCCCAGGGTTAGGGGTCCTAAGGAGCTGTCTATACTAGATCTAATTGTTTGCTCCTCATTTCACTTCTCCATTTTTTCTGGTACCATCTAGCTAAGACCACCCATCTTCTAACACGGCCGCTTCTTACAGTCAGTTACTCCCTCATGCCAACTCCTACAAACACCTACCGTGTTGGGGCCTCCTCTCCTAGAGGCTCTGCTGCCTTTACTCCATTCACTATTTCCTCTGGCTTGAGTCTGTATCCCCCTAGCTTCCTTGTCTGTTTCTTTTGCCAACTGACTCCTTTCACATGACCCCCTAACCTAGTTTGCTTTCTGCTGCTGTGATGAACTCCATAACCAGAAACAATGTGGGGAGAAAATGGTTTATTTAATCTTAAACTTTACAGTCAATCATCGAGGGACACCAGGGCAGGAACCAAGGCAGGAGCTTGCAAAGGCACTGCTTACTGCCTCACTCCCAGCCTCCTATGTGCAGGCCCACCTCTCTAGGGATGGTACCACCCACAGTGGCCTGGGCCCGCCTACATCAATTAGAAATCAAGAAAACACCCCACAGACAAGCACAGGCCAATCTGATGGAGGCAATTCTTCAACTGAGGTTCCCCCTTCTTAGGCGTGTCAAGTTCACACAAAGATTAGTCATCACACACTCCCTGACACTTCCCACCATGGCTACAGTCAATCATCGAGGGACACCAGGGCAGGAACCAAGGCAGGAGCTTGCAGAGGCACTGCTTACTGCCTCACTCCCAGCCTCCTATGCAGGCCCACCTCTCTAGGGATGGTACCACCTCTCTAGGGATGGTACCACCCACAGTGGCCTGGGCACAGGCCAATCTGATGGAGGCAATTCTTCAACTGAGGTTCCCCCTTCTTAGGCGTGTCAAGTTCACACAAAGATTAGTCATCACACACTCCCTGACACTTCCCACCATGGCTCTACTGCCTATGGAATCTGAGCAAAGTTTACACAGTCCTCCACTGAGCACGGCCTACTGTCTAGAGTTTCATTCTTCTACGAATTCTGCTGTTAGGCTATGACAACCGAAACCTACGGAAATCGAAAACAGCCACACGATCAACGCTAAATGGTCTGATAAATTATGAGATTATTAGATAGCCACTAAATCTTAATACTTATGCAACATCAAGCATAAAACAGAATATACTTCTTTCAGTATGCTTTCAATTATGGAAGAGACACGACTACAAAAACATACGCCCAATAGTGCCTCCAGGTGTTCCCTGCCTTCTAACCTTTCCTACACTTTGATATTATACTTTAATAATAAAACAAGTAGAAACAACAAAGGGAGAATAAAAACCAGTGGTGTTCTATGTGTAAGATGAAGGAATATGAAACAGACCATCACGGTCCCTTTCCTAATGTGCTCATCTTCCCACTTCATAGACTTGCATAGTTCTTTAGCTTATTATACAGCACTTAACATGGTTTCTCAACAAAAACGAAGTGTAGAGAATCGGTGGCCTTTTCACTACATGCATATGAGAACAAGTCTCATGGAGGTCAACTGTCTTGACAAGGTCTTAAAACTGACTGGTCTCACTCTAGAATCCATGTATTTGTTTCCTTCTCCTACTATTGTAACACTTAGTACAAATTTACTTACTTAAAAAATACCGTGATCTCACAGCTGAATAGACACTGGATCCAATAGCAGTCTCTTCAGTGCAGTCCTCTTGCAGATGGGGAAAGATTCAGCTCCAGACAGAGCCACTTGCCTGGTGGGATGTACTCGGGTCCCATTTTCTTTGCTGGCTTTCAGTCAGGATTTTTTTCTCAGATTCCACATTTCCTGGCTCATGATCCCTTTCATCTCCAAAGACCCCAAGGTCTTGCTGTCCAGGGCTCTCGTCTTTCCCTTCTGCTTTTGAAAGGCTCATGTGATTACACTCAGCCCTCCTGGATAATCCAAGCTAATCGCTCTATTGTGTTAGCTGATCAGTAAACTTCATCTGAAAAGTCCTCCAGTGCCTACATCACTGCCAGATCTGACTAACAGGAAGGGAGACCATTTTGCCTGCGGTGTGACTTTTCCACTGCTTAATTCATGTTGTCATTCCTTCTCCATTAATCTAAAAGGAATTCTGTATTTCATCCACTTTGTTAGAATTAAGCTACTCTTAAAAAATGTCTAGAAAAAAAGATCCACTGGTTTTCCGTTTGTATCTTCTGTTAAGTTATAGTTCTGCTAAGCAAAATGGGTTCTAAAACAATTCATGATCTTGGTAGCACATTAATAAAAATCAATATACACTATATAACTTTATGAAGAATGTGGAAAAATGAAGACATTAAAACAGTCTATCGGAGGTCACAGGTCCAAGTAGGCTTCTTATCACTATGGTCTCCACACTCTTAATTAGGGGCTGGAGAGCTGGCTCAGCAATAAGAGTGCTTACTGTTCTACCAGAAGACCGGAGTACAGATCCCAGCACTCTCATCAGGTGGTTCACGAACGCCTGTAACTCCAGGCCCAAGGGATCTGATACCATCTTCTGGCCTCCATGAGCACCCCACTCCCAAATTAAAAAAATAAAAGCTAAAAATAAAAATTAGTTCTTTTAACTACCCAGACTCAAGAATGTAAAGCAGAATTTCTGCAATAGAAGAAATAATTGTTAATCACATGACCGGGAAGGAACTCTCACACAATACATATATTTACACCAACAAGTTCATTCTTTTTCAGCCGTGTAAGAGATATCCCAATGGCTCATGACCTTCAGACAAAGCTGTTTTTGACATCAAATGTGAAAAAAATGGCTTAGAGTCACAAAGTTTAATTTTATTACAATTGTTTTTAATGTCAGTTATTATCTTGACAAATATGGGTAAATCTATAACAAATCTCTAATTTCCATGATACAAAAAGACAATAAATATAGATTCAAATTCAGTCTAAAAACGAGATTCTAAATCTAATTTAGATTAGGTAGTATAGCTTAGTTTCAGAATTTCAAATATATGCATTTAATTCTTAAAATGCTACAAAAACTCATATAATAAAGTTATTGCTCACTGAGAAGCAGCTAGCAGTTCTTTGCTGACAATACACAAGAGTTTGGCACCATCAGCCATGAGCTTGAAAGCCTGCTGGTGTTGGGGACAACCAGAGATGGTGCCAGATGGCACTGGTCCTAGCTGGCAGGAGACTGGTACAGGGCAGTACCAAATACACACTAAGAAGGGCAGGAAGCTGCCTCTCCACAGCCCAGAAAATGGTCCCAGTTTTTTGGAGAAAACAGGATCTGCATTACTCATCTTTCTAGCGCTGCATGGAGCACTCCAGCCAGAACAGCGCAGTTTGCTGACTTAACAGCTCAAATCCCCCTGCTACGTGTTCTCCACCAACAGTGACTTCTTCAATCCTTCATTTTCCTCCAGAGCACATTCTTCATTGCTTTCAAGGTACAGTATTATTAAAGTCTTGTGAAATTTGTGCCAAAACAATCGTAGTGTTTCTTCTAGGTTATTAATTCTTCATTAACTAAAATTCTGGAGAGTTTCACGCCAAGCTCCTCTGTCTTGGTTTAATTCTTGGGTATAGCTAGAAGAGAGAGGGAAAACAATTTACACATGACACCCATATGGGAGTGCTACAGTATTTCAGGAAATACAGGGAAGAGGGGAAGAACATGACTCAGAGGAACTCAAGCTGTGGAAGCATGTGGAGATGCTCACCCACTATTCTGAAGACATTCGAAGGTCACAGGGTCCACCAACTCAGACAAGACCATAGAGTAGTAACATAAAAACTCTAAGCATTAACTCAAATTTGCAGTTTGCTGAACTGCACAGCAGTCTAGGGAGGGCAAACACTGAAGACAGTTCTTTGCTAACTGCTGTATTTGGAATGCCGATTACATAACAGGAGAAAGGCAGTCTTTTTTTTTTTTAAAGCCAAGGTTTCTTAATTGTGTGGGCCCAGCCTCACAATCCTCTAGCCTCAGCCAAATGCTTGAATTACTGGCATAAACTAATCCTGTTTAAACTTTTTCCTCACAAGGGACATACACTATGTGACGGGACTTAAGTCTGTCAAGAACAAAATGCCACAAAGTCAGCAGGTTTAAGGAAGCATGGGCAGAGCGTTCTTTGGAGTTCTGTTGCCTTAAGTTTTCCATAAGAAGGGTTTGTGAGGGTGGCAAGCCCCTGTCTAGACACCCAGAGCAAGTAATTCAACTGACAAACTCTTTTTTCTCCTACAGACAGGGAAAGAAAAAGGGGTGTGGGTGAGGGAGGGTGTTTACAAGAGCTAGACTTCAGTTCGCACTGAAAGCTTAACTGGTAGATCGACGTGAAATAAAGGATTATTACTCTCGTTTGAGACTGCTGAGTCTTTCTGAAAATTCAGCATTTGTGTAATTTATTTTTATTTTAGCAACAAAAGACACCAAAAAAGTTATGTAGAGGACATTTCTATTCAGAAAAGATTTCCAGAGAACTAAGAATATCTAAGTTTAGGATGAAAATTACAACCTTTATCCCAATGTGTTAATTTCAGAACCTTCTGGGAGCTCAACAGGGTCTCTGACCAACTTCTTCACACTGAGAAGAATCCTTCCATTTCACTAACCATGGGGTTTCTTTATTGGAAAACAAAACTCAAAGAGTTTTGCTGTACAAGATGAGAATTATAGTTAAAATCATGTATATGACTTGAAAATTGGGATGATTCTCTTCCTATCACAAAAAGAAAGTTAGTTATTTAAGGTAATTATATATTGATTTGACTTATTCATTCTGTAATCTATACTTATTTTATAAAAGCTGTGTGAGGGGCTGGAAGAGCTGACAAGAGGTTCAGTAGGTAAGGGCACTTGCTGCCACCAAGCCTGATGACCTGAGATCAATCCCTAGAACCCACAGGGTGGAAGGCGAGAAATGACTCCCTGTAAGCTGTCCTTGGACTTCCACGAGATTCTGTAGCACATGCACACCCACACACAAAATAAATACATGTTTTAAAAAATCCTTAAAAGGCATATTATACACCAAAAATATGTGCAATTATTTATTAGTTTACAAAAGATGAGCTAGAGCGGTGACACACACCTATAAACCCAGTACTCAGGAGGCAAGAGGACCGAGGGTTTGAGGACAGGTTTAGCTACTTAGCGTATCACCTCGCCCCTCCCAGAAAGACTCATCTGAGCACTGGGGCTCACAATCATCCCAGCACTTAAGAGGCTAAGGCAGGAGGGCTGCCACATAGCCTAGACTATACAATGAGTTCCAGGCCAGCCTGGGCTACAGAGTAACCCTGCCTCAAAAAACAAAACAAACAAAAACACCAGAAATAAGCAGGGAATGGTGGTGCATACCTTTAATCCCAATACTTAGGAGGCAGAGGAAGGCAGATATCTGTGAGTTGGAGGCCAGTCTGGTCTACATATTGAGTTCCAGGCCAGCCAGAACTACATGGTGAGACCCTGACTCAAAAAAGGGGATGAGGGGACTGTTTTAAAAACTAAAACTAAATATATACACTCAAATAAGCACATAGTCCTAAGAGGAACCATCTTTCCCAGATAAACTACAAAATGTCACGCTTATTTATTACTGATGTCACCTAGAGAAACCAAGGCTGCATGCAGACTGCCCTGCTCCCTGCTCCGGGCTGAAGACTGTACAAGAAGCTGGAAGCAGAGCCACCTGCCCAGCTCCACTTTTCTCTGGTATTTAAAAGCTATTTCATTTTTACAGGGCTCTGCGACTTAAATTTTTTTTTACTTTCACTATTGTTTATAGTTTACATTAAGGTAATGCAAATGATTCCTGTCTACACCTCCAAGTTTATTTCACAATAATGCTGCTCTCTAGAAAGCAACAGTCAAGGTGTATGAAATCAATTACACTGGATGTTTGTCAGGCAACCATGGGAAATGGAGTCAGTTGTCAGAATCCAGACTGTGAAGTCCCAGTGTCAAAATCATTTAAAGAAATATTCCAGCAAAGGAACTGGAGTAGATGCCTCCTGCAGACCTGTTCCCTGTGTCTATATGACATACCACATTTATCTGAAAAACCACTGCTCTACATACACTCCCTCCACTGTCTGCATGGCTCAGGAAGGCCTCTCTAGCCTTTCCTCTACCACCTGGTTACCCAGAACAGAACTGTTCCTGGTGGATCTGTAGCAGCAATCTGGAGCCCAGTGCTTGTGACCTACATGCTACAGACTATACATCACCACCATCCTCCTTCCCTTAAGCCTTCCCCTGCTCCTTACCAATCGCAGATTTTCCAAGATTTTCCTTTTAACCTTATCTCAATCTACCTACATTATTTCTCTCATTCTTTCACACCCCTAACACACGGCCTTTGCTTAGGAGAACACCTAAACCTATCAAACAGCTTGCTTTGTTCAACTTCCTGCCTCCACCACCAAAGTGCTGTTGATTATGGGCATAAGCTACAGTACCTGGCTAAAACCTATAAAAGAGGTTTTAAAATCATAAAAACATGTTATTCTGGCTTTCTCTAACAAACCAATTAATATGCTCCTGAGTACAATAAACACTATAAACACTGAAAATATGGCCGAGTCTAAATATAAGACAGTAAAATTTTAAGCTTATGTCTTTGTTAACAAAGGGCAGTGAATCACACCAAAGTCTCAGCACCCGGTAGTTCATGCAAGGCTCCTGTTTGTCACACACAGGACACAGGCAGTCAAAATGACTTACTCCCAGCAAGTTTCGTGGGACGTAGCCCTCCTTCTCACTGAGGCGCGCCCACCACCACTCAATTTCGTCTTCGTCTTCCCTGCGGATTATGGTCATGCAGTCTCCTTCTTTCATAGGCAGCTCGTCATCATTCTGAGGCTCGTAATCCCACAGTGCATAAATGACGCCTTTGTTCATTATGCCCATCTTCTCCTGAACTCCTACAGTCATGACAGAAAGACAGCACAGGATTTATCACTCAAATTATGCTACTCTTAAGAACCTCTAGCTCTGTGAAACAAAACTGGAAAAACAGATACTCACTGGAATGTCAGATTAAGCAGTCAAGAAATAAATCTCCCAGAGGAGGAGAGAAAATGGAAGACCATGAAAGTTTATGAAGATAAAAAAAGACCTATTAACATGTCCTGCTGTTCTAAATAGCTCAACAAGGAGCACATCCTAAGCACGTCACAAAGCCTGCCTTCCTCAGAGTAAGCTGCTATCTCCAGGGCCAGCTCCAGGGCTCAAAGAAAAACCGAGTTTATGTTTAAAGAAGGAAATGATGCTTGTCAACTTTCAGCCTACTTCTAAGTATGATGACCAAGGAATGCTAAAAATTTTGCTCCTTCTCTGAACTGCAGGAACAGAAAAATAATCAGAAGTGTCCTACCTATGAAAGTGGACTCTTATCAATTCCTGGTCATTGAGAAGAAAAGAAAGTACAGTATCATCTGTTAGGACACAGCAGTTTAATAGATAACGATAGAAAAGTCTGTAGGCAGTCACTCTAAAATGAAAATTAGAATTCTAAAAGATGTTGAAATATACAACCTCATAGGAAAAAATCCTCAGAAGCCAATGTTTCAGCAGAGTTAACTACTACTTGCAAATCAGACTTCAGCCTCCTCCACCTCACTTTCTGCTCTGAATGTAAAGGTGGGAGAATGGGAGTGAGAAGCAAAAAACAAAAGCAACAGGCAGGAAGGTGAGGGAAAGGGAAGGAATCGGACGGTGAGAAATCAAGTAACCGGAATGAATTTCCCTTTACCCTGCCCTCCTTTCACATTTATGTGTCTGCAAGTACACCATGTGGGTGCACTGCTACAGGAGGCCACAAGAAGGCATCGGATCCCCTGGAACAGGAGTTACAGACAGTTTTGAGCCACCATGTGGGTGCTGGGAACCAAACCCAGGTCTTCTGCAGGAGCGGCCAGTGCTCTTAAATGCTGAGTCATCTCTCTAGTCCCTAACCTTATGCTTTAAAAAAATATATGAAAATATTTGCTTGGTTTTTGAATATACTTTTAAGTATCCATTTACTAATTAGTTATCAATTATTCATCATTCCTGTATCAGTAACTGTAGCATGTACTGTATCTCTCTGGGCAAAAAAAAAAGAAACAGACTTATTCTTTTCTGAAAGAAAGCTCGGCCAACCTAAAGTTCAATCAATTTCTGACTTTCCTTTTTCACAAAAAGCCAAACAGCACAAGAACTGGTGTTGCATGGTGGGAGAGCATGGGTTAGCATGCACATGTTCCAGCCTCAGGACCACAAATAGGACTGGACAATAAAATCTGAGATGGAAATGTATATATTTCCACAAAAATTCTCATTTATTTATTTATTTATTTATTTATTCGGTTAGTTGTTTATTTTTATGTGTGTTTGCATGAGTTTATGTGCACCACATGTGTGCAGGGCCTGCAGAGGCCAGAAGAGGGCAATGGATCCCCTGGAATTGGAGTTATGAGTGGTTGTAAGCCACCATGTAGGTGCTGGGAACTGAACCTGGGGTCCTCTAAATGAGCAGCAAGTAAAAGCAAAAAATTAATAATAGTTAAAAAAAAATGAGGGTAACTCTGTGGTCTTTAAGAACCTTCTCTCTTCTCAGCTATAATCTGGAACAGGCAAAAACACCCACGGACCCTGGCCAAGCAGAGAGAGCAAAGGCCTGTGCCTTTAACCTCAGGGGTCTTTTCAACCACCTGGTGAAGAAGCTTCTGAGAAGGGTAAGCAGGCTGGAGTCCTGGGAATTCCTTCCTGATTTGCCTGTTTCCCCTCAAGCTAAACTGAAAGAATTAACTTCAACTGCTAAGTCCTGTTAAAAAAATAAATAAAATAAAATAAATAAAAATGGCAATCAACATATACCTAGATACTACACTAATAGGACCTTCTGACAGCAATCAGAATCATAAACTCAAAATCAAGAAAACATTGAAAAAACTTGAATTGTTAAGATTCTTAGGTCATGCAGTTTTTCTTGATTATCCTGGAAGGATGGGGCTCTGTTTATTTATGTGCAAACACTACACTCTAATTCACTAAGTGTTTTAAAGCCTTACTCGGGGGTCTCCTGAACGCACAAAGATTTTAAATTAACAGCACTAGGTAAGAAGCTGCAACACTGTCTTTTATAGCTGAAGGTATCCTGACAACAACTATTTCTAGGCACAGGCAAAGAATCTGTATTATCTGTGACCTATGCTGTCCTGGCTTCTGTATCCAGAACTATGTATAGCACACGAGGGTTTTTTTTCCAAATAATAAAAATACTGAGTTATGCCCTACAGACTAAGAGATAAACAAACAGTAACTAAGACGCCCAACTGCAGGGGTTACATACCATAGAGAAACTGAGAGCACTGAGTGTAGCCCTCCTCCATCTCCTCACACTTGTCTGCAGCAGTCTGCATGTCGCTGTAGGTCATAGCAAACACAGCCGCTCCCGACTCCACCAAAAACTTACACACCTGAACATTGTTACATGAGGCAGCACAGTGTAATGGGGTCCTGGGAAGTAAGACACAGCACTGGTTAGAAATGTTTTTCCAAGTTGAATGACCTCCACTTGGTAAGTTATCAGCTAAGAAGTTCCTTAGTCTCTTACCTACTAGCTCTTTCTTCTGAAAGCCTCATAAGCAGCTTTTCATAACCAGTTCAACCCAGATGGATGAATGAACCCATAAAAGAATCATAGCCACAAAGGAAAGTACCACAGAGCAGTGGACACTCTAGGCAAGAGGCTGGCTAACAGTGGAAGCAGCAAGAAATGAAGTTTGCACAGCAATTTGAAAGAACAGGAAAAAGCAGATGTCGTTCTATGTATGAATTCCTCAGCCTAATCATTTCTGCCTAACCATCAACATATCTGTATGCAAAACATGTGCTTTCAGAATTCCTTTTTCATCACCAATTTTGAAGGAACCAAATGCACATACAGGCTACCTGTAATTTTTTAAATTCAATTAAATTTTGACTGAAAATACCTGTCAATTCAACTTAAACTAGAAAAATGGCTGTAAAACACAGATTTCCATCTGTTTTAGGTAACTGGTTAACGGATCAATACCATTAAAGGAAATCCCTAGCATCTCAAACCTCCAAACTCAGAAAACTGGCTTGAGAAGCTCAATCAGACTCTGAGGTGGATAAGATTTCTTTACTTCTCTCCCTTCAGTTTGGCTCCTTTAGATGCATGTTTTTCTGTTTGTGTTCTCTATCTCCCTCCCTCCCTCCTATAATTCATTTATTCTCTTTTCTTCTTTTCTTTTTCAGTGCAGAGGGTTCAAGCCTGGAGCCTCAGGCATGGCAGACAAGTACTCTATCACTGAGCATTACATCCCACCCACAGTTTGGCCACACGTTTTAAAAAGAACTTCAGATCCTCCATTACAGAATACTATTATTACTAATTTGGTGAACACTAACACAGGTGTGCGTGGTGGCGTATATGTGCAGGGTCTATGTGCATGTGGATGCCTAGGTTGATGTCAGGTATCTTTCTCTATTGCCACCACTTTATTTTTGAGTCACAGTCTTTCACTGAGCCGAGAGTTCACTGATCGAATAAACTGGCCGGCTAGCCAGCTCTAGGGATCTGCCTGTCCCGTTCCCCACCCTGCCCCCATACTAGAGTTGAAGACCCGGGAATCCAAACTCCAGGTCCTCATGCTTGCATGGCAGGCACTTTACCCACTGCACCACCTCCCTAGCCATATTATAGATTTTTTTTTTCAGTGCATAGATTCTAAGAGTAGAAAAATTATATACACTCTAAAGTCTTAATTAAAGCAAGGATACTATGGTACGTTAAGAATCTGCTTATGTTAAATGATAAACCAAAAGGGAGGCAGTAATTTATATATTACATGTATATAAATATATACACACTTGAAAGCATATAAAAAAGAGCATGTGCTTGACAGGCATGTGTGAGGCATCTGATTTAATACCTACACTAACCGAACAAGAAAGCAGGAAGGAAATGTACGACAATTTAACAGTGTTTGCTTATAGACTGTGGTGGTACAGATGGCTTGTTTTCCTCTTCTCTCTGTTTTATACATTTTCCACAGGGGATACACATTATTTTTATAGGTACAATTTTTTTTTTAATTGATTTATTTTTGGTCTTTTTGAGACAGGGTCTCCCTGTAGCCCGAGCTGTCCTGAAACTCACTACATAGACCAGGCTGGCCTTGAACTCAAGAGATCCTCCTGCCTCTGCCTCCTGAGTGCTGGGATTAAAGGCGTGCACCACCACACCTGGCTTATTTATTTTTATTTTATGTGTATGCGTGTATTGCCTGCATGTAGGCAGGTGCACCCATGTCGTGCAATGCCCGCGGAGGACAGAAGAGGCTGTTGGATCCCCTAGGACTGGAGTTACAGACAGTTGATAGCTGCCATGTGGGTGCTGGGATTCAAACCCGGGTCTTCTGCAAGAACAACCAGTGTTCTTAACCACTGAGCCATCTCTCCAGCCCTATAGGTACAATTTTTTAAAATGCAATTACAATGCTTCTCCAAATATTACTTGTTACAACAGCAAAAAATTAGTAACAAAAACATCTAACAAAAGAAGGCAGTCTTCACAGATGAGCACAAGGCCACTTAGTAGGCAACAAGAGGCCGATTTAAATCTCTGTGCATGCTGTCTACATGATTTACATATGCACACACATCTGTAACATAAAAATGAAAAACAGTAAAATTAATGAAATTAAAATACTAACTAGATTGAATTGCAATATTTTCAGTCCTTTGTAGAAAAAAAAATCTTTGTATTCATCAACAAAATGAATTTAGTCTCCCCAATGGTTTTACTGTCTAAGATTTCATGTTACCAAAGGTAACTGAGCTAAGAAAAATTAGAAAAAAGTCCAAAATAGTTTGCAAGTTACAGATTATGGCTGGTTCTGAGCAGCATGATGGAATCTGCACTATCCACCCTGACTCATTCCTATACACTGTATATCTACCTGCCCATCAGTCACTTACTAACCACTGTAACACCTGGATCACCTCTCTCCAAACTCTAGTGCTTATGATCTAGTAAATCTCAGTTTCCTCAACCACCTCAAAGCACAAGAGTGGGGACGTTAGCATTTTATTACAGAATACTATTACTACATTTTGAAAAAACTCCATTTGCTTTAATCTCAGCACTCGGGAGGCAGAGGCAGGCAGATCTCTGTGAGTTCCAGGCCAGCCTGGTCTACATAACGAGTTCCAGGACAGCTGGGGCTACAGGGAGACCCTGTCTCAAAAAGACCAAAACAAAACAAAACAAAACAAAAATCCATTTGCTTCCAGAATTGGAACAAAATGGCTACTACATGAGGACACAAAAATAGACAGCACATAGAAGCTGGAGGATAGGGTTCCTTTGCTTTCCAATAGCACTACAACATTGCTTCTACAACAGACACCCACAACTGATGTATGACCGGAGTTTAAAGGCAAATCTTACCATCCATCACTATCAGCAGCATTTACATTCACACCAAACTGTACCAGGAACTTCACAATTTCCGTGTGGCCTGCACACACAGCATTGTGAAGGGCTGTGATGCCTTCGTCATTTGGCAGGCTTGGGTCATCAACCTGTAACACATAAGGAGGGTAAGGGTCACTCCAGTTTCTTGTCACATCACCTGCCATTACTAAGTAGCTCTTTAGGAACAAGAAAACAGAGTCTTCAGTGGCATTTTTTAAAAATCATAATTAAAACTCATAAAATTAAAACTCATATAAAAGTTTAAAAATAGGAGCCAAGAGAACTGTATTAAGAAAAATCCTAAAAATAGGGCACATAGTATAGCCAAATGAAGTAGGTACTTACCACGAGAGGGTTTTATTTAAAAATTCTAATATCAGAAACTATATCCTATAGTTACATTTGTCTTCCAATTCCCACCACAAGCTGGTTTCTAAGTAGACATCCCACTTGCACTGGAATGTAAAAAGGGGTCAATTAAAAAATATCTTGAAGGAGGTGGATATGGTGGCACATGTATTCCCAGCACTCGGAAAGCTGAGGCAGGAGGATCACAAATTTGAGGCTTACATTCCAAGAATTTATTTCAAAAAACAATTTAAGAATTCTGCAAAGTAGAGACCACATCTGCAGTTTAATACTGTACAGTATAAACCTGTACATGAGCAACTTTTACAGGAGAAAAAATGTTCTTAAACAATGAAAAATACACCAAAGGACTTCAAGGGAAAACTGAACTTCAACATTGTCAAAACTCTGCTGTTACAGTTTAAAAATAGCACAGCCTATTTTAGAGCACGCTCAATTTTCCTCTCCACAACTCTACAGTCCCCCAAAAGAAAACTTTAAATAGACTTTCTCTATAGCAGCATTCTATTTTGAGCTTTAAAAAAAAAATACAAGGTTGTATTTAAGAAATTTACCTCATAGATAATCCGCTGTACAAGGTCAAATTCTCCTTCCAAAGATGAATCCAGGAGTAATGCAAGAGGGTTGAATTTCACCCGCATTCCATGAGCAATCCGCTCTGAGCCAGTTTTACGCAAGTTTGTCCTTTTGCCCTGCAGAGGAAATTCGTGGAAAATTAAAGAAGAGGCCAACAGCCAGAGGGAAAGAACATTCAGCTAAGTTAGAAAAAAGAACTTTATTGCTCAGCTTTTTGTTTGAGATGGTCTTGCTGTTTAGCTCAGGCTGGCCTAGAATTTGCCATGTACCCAGGCTGATTCTGACCTCGTGGTCCTCCTGCCTCAGTCTCCCAAGTGCTGGGATATAGGTGTGTTACCAACACCTGGCTATGGACATTAATGAACTAAATCTGGTGGTGAGTTGACTGGTTTCCTCTAGGATACCACAACTAGCCAAAAATGGGTCTCTAAATCACATAACACAGATTGGGCCAAAGGCCAAAGTCGGAATTATAACAGCTAACATATGATTATTTTCTTAATCTTCATACACAAAAGGAAACTAAGGCACACAGCCAGTTAACAGCAGGGCCAGGGTCTGAATACAGGTAAGCTGGCGTCTTTGAAGTCTCTTTTCCCATTTGTACCACAATGCCTCCTCAAGCAAAAACAAATGGTTCAGCTAAATAATACAGGTTATCAGTGATAATTAGACACACTGAGGAAGAAGTTTATGTGTTAAAATGTTTTAATGCTAGTCTTTTAAAAAGGCACTTAGCGGATGGCGATGGCTCAGTGGTTAAGAACACTTGCTCTCGCAGAGAGGCCAGGTTGGGTTCCTAGCACCCAAACTGGGTGGCTCACAACTACCTGTAACTCCAGTTCCAGGGAATCTGATACCCTCTTCTGGCCTCCACAGGCACACACATGGTGCACATACATGTTTACACCATCTATAACTTCTGCCTTGGGGCTAGCCTGGTGGCACAGGCCTGTAATCTCAGCTACTCTAAAGGCCTAGGCACCAGGATCACAAGTTCAAGGCCTGGCTGGGCAACTTAGTCTCCAAAAGGAAAGAAGAGCTGGGATACATAGCTCAGCTTGAGTGAGGCCCTGGGTTCAGTCCCAGTGCTGTCAAAACCCAAAATTAACCTAAAAGGACCCTCTTCATGCGAAGTAGTTATATGATAAAAGACAAACTGAAGACAGCCATGCTGTGGTGTGTGTGGCAGGGGAAGGCTTCCTAACCGGCCTTGGACACACAACTCACAGGAGGCAGAGACACCTGTCCGGTGATCTCTGGTGGGCGCATGCGTACAGAGTCTTCTTCAGGCCCCTCTGGCTCCCCAGATGGGTATGGTGGGGGTGGGTAGGGGGGGTATTCTTCTAGGTACACTTCAAGCAAATGGGGAGCCTCTAGGTTTGGTTCTTCTGCATCATTCTGGAAGTTTGGGCTGCTATCTGGGGCTCCTTCAGGCACATAATCGAGGCCTGCAGAAGGAGCTGGCGTGTCACTGGTCTCTGTACTGGCACTCCCTACATCCTCTGGGGTCAGTGGTTCAGGAACCACAGAGACCACCTCCTTCTCTGGCTCCACATGTAAATATGGGTTTGGGATTTCTATTGGGCTTTCTGTGCTGGCAGTCACTGAGCTCGATGACTTAGATGGGTAGGATGGGACAGAGATGGTCTCCATGGCAGCAATAGTAGTCCTCTGATACAAAAGCTTCTGAATATTTGGCCCATTAGGGCCCTCTGGCTCTGTGATGGAGCTGCGTTTCTTTAATGGCCTTGGTGCATTAGACAGTTTCTTTCGTAGGGCTTCTAAGTCAGCATCACTCTGATTCCGGTAAGGGTGAGATAAGAATGGCAGTAACTTAGTCGGGCTGAGTGGTCGGGGAATTCTTTCATTTTCATGGCTCTCATGAACTGAAGAAACAGGCTCTGTTTCAGGGTCAGGACTGCCAGGCTTGCCCTGGCTCCTGGAGTAGATGTTCTCCAGATGCTGCTGTGGGTTCTGGGCAGCAGCAATCACAGGCTTGCCATACACTAATTGGAAAAGAGAGAGAAGAAGCCCTGATTAGTGCTAATTAACAGAACTACTAACAGAAAGAGCTAATGGGAACTAAAGCCTCTTCAAGTTACTACATGACTCCTGCAAGCACAACAAATGTCTTAAAGTAACAAAACACAAAGTGAGGATTTCATCTTTGCATGAGCTTATTATAAAATCAAAATCTCCATTGATTGTAACATGCACCACTGTTTTACAAAACAGTAAAAACGTGTGGCCCATGGTAAGAAACCATGACCACAGACTGGGGCATTCAAATTAAAATGTCAAAATGTGAAGACTTTGAATCAGTGAAAATTGATAATCTGTTCCTGTGTACAGACTGAATCTAAACACACACTATGCAATGTTTCTCACTGTTCAACTGCAAATCAATGTGAGAAATCCCATTTGGTTTACAAAATTGAGACCCACTTATTTTTCCCAAAGTCATTCCCCTAAGCATTCCAATTATATCAAAATTATCTAATTCCCAAATTATTACATTATTGCTACTCATCAAGGATTTATGAAAGGACTGAGAGATAACACATACATTGGTTCTGTAATATCTAATTAATTTCTATAACACCACCGTGGCTCATAATTACATGTTTATTTTATGACTACAAAGAAAATCATTTTCAATCAATCAAATCAGGTCAACTGTATTCTAGTCCTATTATCTAACTAATGATTTTTTTTTTAAAAAAAACCTCCAATGTCCAGATTGAGTGTGTTTAACACAAACTAGTTTTATAGTTTTATTATAGTTTCTTATTTACTTAGTGGTGATGCCCTCATTAGAACAATTTAAAATACAGGAGAACGTTGCTTTTTAAAAATCAAGCTGGGTATGGTGGTACACTTGGGAGGCAGAGGTAAGGAGATTTCTATGCGTTTGAGGCCAGCCTGGTCTACATACTAAGTTCCAGGCCAACCAGGGCTACATAGTGAGACCCTGTTTCAAAAACCCAAAAAGTATTAAAAAAAAAAAAAAAAAAAAGACTCAAGAGACACTGTAGCTCTCCATCCAACATGCACCAAGAACAGCTAACTAATCCTGCTGCAAAGGTGTACGCAGCCTTCTGCACTGTGTAACCCCTGTGGATCCATTTCCCCCACACTGACAAGCTCCTTCAAAACTAAGGCCCAATCCATCCACCATCTGCAGCGCCTACTACAGCAGCTGACAGGTAGCAGGCACTCTGTTAAACTCCTAATTAAGAGGAGTCACAACTAAAGCTCTTAGAACAGCAGCATTTTGCTGTCTACTAGCAGCTTGACCTAGGACTTATGCCCCAAATCTATTCAGGTGAAAATGAGGCTGAGAATCTTATCACTATAGAGGGTAGGAGAGATGGCTTAACTTGTAAAAGCACTTCCACATAAGCCTGAGGGACCTGGGTTCTATTCCCAGAACCCACAGTGGAAGGAGAGAACCACTTTGGAAGATTGTTCACTGACATAAAAATAATTAAGAAAACAAAAAACCCATACCACTGGAAAAGTGAGGGCCTCGGATATGAGTCTTGGTCAAGGCACTCTGCACAGCCTGCTGGAAGTTTTTTCCTGGAGCCTGATGCTGGGTGTACATGGAATAGATTGAACTGGCTGCCACGGTCTGGGGTTTTCGGAAGCCAGATGGAGGGAGGGTGTCCTTGGAAGGCTGGGGAGTAAAGGGTCGAACTGCAGCAGCAGGTGGACTTTCTTGCTTAGATCCTGGAGAAAGGACTTGGTCTTGGCCACCTGAAGGTATGCTGGGAGACAGCAGCACCCTTGGCTGCTGTCCTGCTGGCTTGAGCTTATTTCCTGTGGATGTAGTGGCAGTTGGCAACTGCTGAAGATTTCCATCTGCCTTAACGTCAGAAGGTGACTGAGTGGTTTGTCCAAAATAAGGCAAATTAATCTGTTTTGGTTTTGTAGGAACAGGAGGTGGTACTTTAGCCACATTTTTGTTTGCAGCCTGTAACACACATGCATACACAGAAAGGTAGTTAAAATATCACACAACAGGATATACAGGATATCCTAGGTAACTTCATTTCACAAATATAAGCATATACTATAAAAATATTAGCTCTAGCGGCTGGGAAGTTAGGTCAGGGTTTAAGCACTTACTGTGCAAACAAGAGGCTCAGAGTTCAGATTCCCAGAACCTATGTAAATGACAGCAACCTGCCTGTGATTCCAGCCTTGGAAGACAGACAGTGGACCCCAGAAGCAAGCTGGCTAGGGAGACTACAAGCATCAGCAAGCTCTGGGTTTAGTTGAGAGACCCTGCCTCGAAGAATAAGGTAGACAGTATCTGAGGAAGATTCCCAACATCAACTTTGGGCCTCAACATGCAGATACAAACATACCATGCATGCCTGTTCACAAGAAAAGTAGACAAAAGAATACATCTACATTTTAAAATCACTAAAGCTCTAAATCAGATTTAATAAGCACTTGTAGCAATGCAATGTAATTCCCACTCCAGAACTTCCTTCTTGTTCCCATTTCTTAGCTGGGCAAAACTCTTAACTGCCATTCTTCACATTCAGATGGCACATTCAGATGGGATTCCTGTTCATCAGAATGGCATACAATTTAACAGCAACAACAAAAATCCCCAAACAAAAAACTCCAGAGCTGCAAACACCTAGCTTGTAGCATCTATCCATAACCAGCATACCCAAAGCTAAGATCCTGACAGCTACAGAAAGCTCCAATGTTCAACGTAATCTCAACTCCAGATTTCTCTGTGGACTTTTGTTTTCTTGTTCTTTGGACAGTCTGCAGCCCAGACTGGCTTTAGAACTGAGGCAATCCTCCTGCCTCAGCCTCCAGTGCTGGAATTTCAGACATGAGCTACCATGACTGCTTATCATATTTCAAAGAAATAAAACTGGACAACATGAATACTTTGTTCTTCAGTGTGCCTGTATTCTTTAGAAATAACAGAAATACATGACCTAGCCACAAATACGCCAGCCACTCCCCAGCATAGTGGGAGTGCACGAATACGTTCAAACAACATAAATGAAAATAACAGAATCCTATTTTTTAGTGTTCCAGATACATTTTATTTCTTCTACTCTCTCCCAAAATACTTTAAAATCTTTTCTTTAAAAATTCACTATAGAACTACCATTAATTTCTAACAACTGGTATAGTCCTTAAGTACCTGAGCATCCCGCAAGATGTCTTCACTGCTCTGGTTTTTCCTCAGTGTACTAAAGGAGGGTGGGGCAGCACACTGGTCCACTGTGTCAAACATGGAAAAGGGACGCACTTTCTTCTCTTTCTCCCTCAACAGAATGTCCCCATCATCAACTGAAGACAAAAAAAAAAAAAAAAGTCTTGATAGACAGACGGTTTAGAATAAAACTGTTTCTTCGCTCCTGTTTCTCTCACCTTAATCTCTGACACTCCACCCCCAGTGAGTGCTTTCCTATTTTTAAGCTAAATATAAAGAACCCAAACACTACAATTCTAATACTTTACTTCCTCAGTTAAATAAAGGGACTGAATAAACTGTCCCTACTTTTAACACACTAGAAAATGAGCTAGAAAAAAATACACACCGTTTAGAGGATCAAAACATAGTGTTTAGGAGTAGCATGAATAACCCTTACCTTGGTCTAGGGCATTCCCAGCACTCTGAGGAACAGAAGAGCCTTGGCTGGGTAAGAGGTCTGCATTGGAAGGGCTCCAATCAGGGCTAGCTGGATGGGTTTTAGAGCCTAGAATGAAGAAAAGCAACAACAAATAACTCAAGTTCTAAAGACAATTTCACTGGTTTGGTTCACCTTATTAAGACTTTTAACCTCGAAAAGCAGCTTTAAAGTTCAGACACAAAACCTTCCAGTAAATTTATTTAGAAAACAACTATTAGATTTTTGTTTCTATTTTTAAGATTTCCCACCTTACTCAAGTAGTTTAAAAATGGTCAAAGCAGCTGGGTGTGGTGGCGCACGCCTTTAGTCCTAGCACTCGGGAGGCAGAGGCAGGCGGATCTCTGTGAGTTCAAGGCCAGCTTGGTCTACATAGTGAGTTCCAGGACAGCTGAGGCTACAAGAAGACCCTGTCTCAAAAAGACAGAAAAAAAAAAGGTCAAAGCAAAGAAAAAAAATCTGCTTGAGCCAGGAAGACCTATAAGGGTCTGACTGTGTAAGAAAACTCTGTCATCACCAAGAAGACAATTCTAATCCAATAGACGTAGGCATGGAAGATGAGTCTTACAAAAATGCCTCCATGCTGTGTGCTTAATAAGGCAGAAACGTGTGCCAATGACTCTAACCTACCTTTCACAAATCAGGGTATTCAGAATTTTTCTGCACTAGTATCTAAATATCAAAGTCATGGCTTTTTTTCCTTAAAGAAGCACAACAATACAGCTCTACAGTAAAATCCAGACTATGTGGTATTATTGCTTCACAGCAGTAATTATAGAAAAACAACAAACACTGTAACGGGCTTTTTGTTTGTTTGTATATAACAATGGTTAAGAAAAAAGAACACTGGTTACTACTTTTCCTTCGAGGAGTGTGAATGAGAGACTATTTAGACCCTGCACTTCCGGAATACTATCATTTTCTCCCTCTACTATAAAATTCTGGTTTGTTCCCTCTCCATGTACCCGATGATGACCACATAGAATGCAAAGGTCACTAAAGCATGGAGCCTCTGCTGAAATCTCCCAGATGTTTACCTTTATTCTAAAATCTATCAGCAACCAATTCTCATGCATAAAAAGTACATGAACACTTAACAGCATTCCCAAAAGCTTGGATTCCCAGCCTCATTTTCTCTGAGGATGATACTGCTAACATGTACAGGCAGTCTCTTCACACAAAACAGAAACTTTTCACATTATTTCAGGACAAAATTTCCTTTACAACAAGGATTATTATTTGTGTGTGTGTGTGTGTGTGTGTGTGTGTGAGAGAGAGAGAGAGAGAGAGAGAGAGAGAGAGAGAGAGAGAGAAGATATTGCTGTGTAGCTCAGGTCAGTGTGAAACACATAATCCTCCTGTTTAACTTCTGTGGAGAACGCTGGACTTACAGGTGAGCAACATATACACAGCAAGAAGGAAACTTCTGAAATAACTTAGATTTTATTATATTTTGTTTCCTGAGTAGAATAATACTGTTTAGGGTTAAATTGGGCGGGGGGCACTAGCAAAAAATAAAAGAATTTTAGATTTTAAAAATAAAGGATATGAAGACTTTTAAAAACTCATGTTTTGAAAATCTCATGGGGATGGGGAAAAACTGAACTATTAAAGAATTTAGAAATCACTATTACCTTTATTTTGCAAAGCAGCCCCAGACCTCATATTGGGTAACGTCTGCATCTTCACTGAGCCTTCCGATGACTGCATGACCAAGGACCCATCAGGCAGGGCTGGCTTCACCAGCAGCTCAGGTCTAGAGGGCATCCGTGGCATGGTAGATGACTGAATGTAAGGGCCTACCGCGGCCACACGACTTGGGGCTGACACTGCTTGCTGGGGAAGATTTCCATCAGGTGAAACCTGAGTGAAATATTACAAGTCTTACTAGATTGTCAAATTCAAAAAAGATTGAAATTTTCATAATGAACACTTTCAGAATTTAGCCACAGTCTACAAAAAAAGACACACTCCACAATGAACTCTCAGTCGCACTTTGCTACAAGTATGAGAAAGAAAAGAGAGCAACAAGGTAGGAACATTAAAAAGTGAGAAAGCCACAAATCATCCTTGAGGCTGTGATGCCATCTCTGAGGACAAACCATGCATGGATTCTGAGGAAGCTGCTTCTCCTCCCCTGGCCGGGTGCACAGCCCACTCGCTCACCGGGAGATTTTCTTTTTGCTGCAGTGCTGCCTTCTTCTTCCACAGCCGGTCCCTCAGCTCGTTAACACGCTTGTCCATGACTGCCACTTCTGAATTGCGCTTATTCAAACACTCCCTCTGTTGTTGCAGTTTGGCATTCTGTTCTTGGTTCAATTTGTTTCTTAACTGAAAAGAAAAGGGAGGAAACAAAAAGATAGTCAAGAGGTAGGAAGAAAAGTAACTTCAGGAGGTAATCACATAGTTAACCATCATACAATTTCTAAAAATGGAAGGCGCTTCCACCCCTCCACAGACCTCACCTCCTGGGTTAACATTAAGTGACATCTGTGCTAGACCACGGGCTGTGGTTATGACTCCAATTTCCTGTTTGAGGCTCCTTAAAGTTTATTCTGGATTCTCTGGAGTTTAGGCCTCCCCTCTCCACCCACCTTAAGGAAAAGCAGCTGAACTTTAGCACCGAAATGGCCACTTCTATGGACAGTCAGCCTTTCTAGGGAGGAGCTTGTGCTGTGTGTACTGAGTACCTGCAGTTCCTTGTAGAGGCGATCAAGCTCAGCCACGGCTGACTGGTTGTCGTGATGGCCATCAATCCTGCCGTTCTTGAGCATCTCTAGCTGCCTTGTAAGTTCCTCTACTTTCGACACGGCCAGAACTAGCTCCCTCTGTTTCTGCTGGAACAAGCTATTCATCTGTTCAATTTCCTCCACTAGAATAGAGAGAACAACTACAACTGAAAACCAAAGACCAGACTACTTCCCAGGCAACCAGGCTTCCTAATGAAGTTTCTAACGAGTAGAGAACGCTCTGAGACTGTCTTAGAACCAACCTACTTTTAGAAGCAACTGAAATCAACACAGACAGTTCTAAACGACTGTTTTTCTGTCTGGATATAGACATTTGAAGACTGCAGTATTTTAGAGTGAATATAGTAAACATTAAACTCCAAGTTTTTAAAAATAAAATGCTTTTAAAACTTTTGTTCCCAATTTTATAATGATAGATGAACTGAATCATTAAAAAAAATTTCTGAAGAATTTATTTTTATTTTATGTGTATGAGTGCCTGTGTGTGTACATATATATATAGATATATATATTTAAATATATCTATATCTATATAGAGAGAGAGACAGACAGACAGACAGACAGACAGAGACAGAGACACCATGTGCATGTTTGGTGCTTGTGGAGACCAGAAGAGGGCATCAGATCCCCTAGAACTGGAGTTACAGGTGTTTGTGAGTGGTCATGTGGGTGCTGGGAACCAAACAAGGGTCCTCTGCAAGAAGAGCAAGTGCTTTTAACCACTGAGCCATCTCTCCAGCCTTGAGTAACTAAAATTTTAATTATTACTAATATGATAATATAGTAAGTGGAGATATCACATGAACAAAAATCCTCATCTTCATAAAATTCTTGATCAGAAAATAATTTAGCTTCCAGAAGTAATTTTAAAATCTTCTCTAAAATACTCAACACTAACTTCAACTGAGAGAGTAACTGTGAACTACTTTTTCAAAAACTCCTCAGTACTTAGTCTCACTACGACTCTGTATGAACTTCCTGTACCACTTTGATTTCTTCTGCCAGAATAGCTTCAAGTGCAGCCTCTACTGTCTACTGGGAGCAGCTCACCAAGTTTCCCATTGCTCAGCCTCTTCTGTTCCACATGGCCCTTGAGTGCTCTCACTTTTTTAAGCTTGGCCTCCTGATTCTCAGCTATTTCTTTGAGCCGCTTCAGCTTCTCCTGCTCAGCAGCTTGCTGCTGTTGACGCTGATCTTGCTGCTTTAAGAATTTCAAACGCTGCTCCTAAAGGTGGAAAAAGGAAGCATTCATCAGGCCTATCATTCTAAACAGGTACACTGCTAACCTCAAAATAATCTCACCCCAACTTTGGATGCTGAGATTGCTACCCCAACCTTGGATGCTAAGATTGTGGTGCACTTGAAATGCTGTTCAGTACCTCCCCCTGCCCCCATCCTATATGCTGCCTTCACAATCATCTGGGCAGTATGTTTGAAACAGGCACACCTGGGCCCACCCTAGAAGCTCTTGAAGATCCAGGAATTAGTATTTTTAATCCAAGTGGTTCCTATTATAGTAAGCCAAGCAATGACCCTAGAACTAATTTTCATAAAGTACTGCTTAAAAAAAGATACTTTGTGTATGTGGTGGATGGAATACTTCTATGTGGGTATATGCACTTGTACATGCATGTGGAGGCCAGAGGTCAGTGTTAGGCATCTTCCTTGATTACTGTCCACATTACTTTTATAGAGTAAGTTTCTCATTGAACCTGAACCGGCTAGGCTATGTGGCCAATGGGCTTCAGGGATCTGTCTGTCTCCGTAACTCCCACCCCCAACACATACACCCAGTGCTAGAGTTCCAGATACTGCCACTGTGCCCAGTTTTTACTGAGTGCTAGGGATCCAAACTCAGTTTCTCATGCTTGTCCAGCAGGCACTTTACCAACTAAGTCATCTCTCCAATTCCAAATGCTTCCTTTAAGAAGCTAGATTTGGACGGGCAAGATGGCTTACTGGGTAAAGGTGCTTGCCTGACAGTTCTTTCTCTAGAGTTCACATGTGCTCTGACCTCCACACATGTGCTGTAGTGCACATGCACATATACAATAAATAATATAATACAATTTTTAAGCCAATTTTAAGAAGCAGCTTATTTGAGTTGGAAGGCAATGTAAAAAAGTAGTTAAATGTAGATGTGAATTCAAATTGAGACCAAACCCAAGCTCTGCCATGGACTTCTATGAGAAGCTAGGAACATTCTATAGCTTCCCCACAAGTACACGTCCATACTTCTTCCACTACAAATTGAGGACACGCAACAATACCTAGTTTCTGTGACAAAGAGCAGACGAAACAGGAACAGTAAATCTTTAAACAGTATATAATAATATAGTATATATGCTCTAAATAGGAACTGAAAAGACACACAAAAAAAGTAACACTTGCAGAAAAACTGCAATTATGTAATTTAAAAACTTACTATCTTAAAAATTTTAACTAACACACAAACTATTATCAAGGGTAAAGTTCTCAGATCAATATGTCGAAAGCATGTAACTAACATGGGTTTTCAAACTGAAGATCTTGAAGTCAGACAGAAACACATTTTTTCAACCAGGCCTAAAGGTGATTCATTAAAGTTTAAGAAGCAATGTGGGGGCTGGAGAGGTGGCTCAGTGGTTAAGAGCACTGGCTGCTCTTGCAGAGGACCCAGGGTCGATTCCCAGCACCCACATGGTAGCTAACAACCACCCATAACTCCAGTTCCAAGGGGATTTGATGCCCCCTTCTGATCTCCATGGGCATTGCATGACAGGGGTGCACTTACACTCAATACACAAAAAAATTTTTAAAAAATAAAAAAAAAATTTTTAATAAAGAAGCAATGTGGCACATGACTGGAAAGGTGGTGCATGGTCTTACAAAATGAATGAATGCATAGGAAAGTAGGAAGTGTTACATGCAAAGGCACAGTGTATGCTGGGAACAGCCTAAAACATTTCCTGGCCATTACTCAAGTGGTAACTTGATGAAGCATCAATTGTCTATTCTGGCTTCAGTAACCTTACAGTCACTAAAGGACTGGCCGGCTAAGGATCCTGAGTGTGTAAACTGAGGGCTGACAAGCCAGACAGAGCCGGAAGGCCAAATCCAAGTTGCTAGGTTTTTGTTTTTTGCTTAATCCATGTGCCCCAGTGTGTACACATAGAGGTCAGGGGACAACTTTAGGTTGTTACAGAGGGTCTCTCATTTCCTGTTGCATAAGCTAGGCTAGCTGGCCTTCAAACCTGTGGGATTCTCCTGTCTCCACCTCCCATCTCACCATAGAAATGTTGGGATTATAGACATCAGCCTACCAGGTCTGGCTTTATGTAGGTTCTGAGATCTAAACTCAGATCCTCACACTTGTACAGCAAATATTTTGCCCACTGAGCCATCTCCCCAGCCCTTAGCTTGCTGATTTTATAAATAAAACTTTATTAGAACAAAACAATACTGATCTGGCTATTCATAAACCAGGTAAGCAAAGTCTGGTTTCTATGGAGCCCTAATGAGAAAAGAGACAGGCATCTGCTTGTAATCACAAGCCTACGGCTGGAAGAAGCACCAGTGAAACTAGTTTTGATGATAATTAAGAGGCTTCTTATGGCAATTTTCCTCCTTGAAGGCCAAGACCAGGATTGATTTGTAAGAGAAGAACGTCCCCAATAAAGGACTGTTGGCACTGAGCAACAGCAGTCAATATTAATAAACTTTGTAGTTGCTCCTGCTGCGGCCCAGAGTATCTCCTAAGAGCAAAACGAAGTGCTCTTTATAACTTTCCCATTTCACTGATTCCCAATGCAGGATAATTAGCTTTGATCAAAATCAAATGATCAGGCCAGGCACAGTGCAGGACTCTGTAGCCCCAGCTATTCTGGAGACTGGGGTGGGGGAGAGGGAACACTAGAGTCCAATAGTTTGAGGCTAGCGTGGGTAACATAGAGACACAGACCCAACTAAAAAGAAAATATTAATAATAATTAGGGGTCAGGAAAATCTTGAACTAGAATGATACAGGATTTCTGAAAAATGCTGAAGGGAAGCAAAGTACCACACAGCAGGTGACAGGGTAGCTGGTCACATCAATTACATGGGAGGCAACTGCCTCTGTAAGCAGGGTAGACTATAAAAAGCTTTACATGTACATCAACAGAGGCAGACTGTTAAATCTTTGAAAAGCATTACCTTAGTAGCCAGCATTTGTTGCTGGGCCTCAATCTGTTGCTGCTGGCGAGATGCCATTTCCTGAAGTTCAGCAAGTGTCAAATCCATCCTAGGACTATTAACCTATGAATAAAAACACAACCATAATCCATCTTACTAAATTATGTTCAGAGACTCCATCCTCAAAGGCCTACTTTAATAAAAGTTTCATCTAAACCCCAATTGCCTCACCCTGTGACCCTGTTCATCATGGAAGAAACCAGAGCAGTCTGCGTCCTGGTTCCCCTTAAGCAATTTGGGTAACCTCTTCAGAGGATGGTTTGATAAGAAAAGGAGGTAGGGCTGGGTGTGATGGCACATGCCTTTAATCCCAGCAATTTGGGAGACAGAGGCAGGCGTATCTCTGTGAGTTCAAGGCCAGCATGGTCTACATAGTGAGTTCCAGGACAGCTGGGGCTACAGGGAGACACTGGTAAAAAAAAAAAAAAAAAAAAAAAAAAGAATAGGAGGTAGGAATTCACTAGGCAGTTAGTGTAATGACCCCAAAGAAAAGTAGCCAGTTTCTTGGGCCTCTTAGCAACAATACTCCATTCCAAAGGTCAAAAATGTTAAAAGTATTTGGGAGCTTTTATCTAATCCTTAAAAGATTTTAGGGTTACCTCTTCAGAGGGGGGAATGGTAGAGTAGCAAAAAGCCCCATAAATTTAACTGGTCCAGACTATAAAATGTTGGTGGGCCCACTGGAGATATGGGAGGAGTTGGAGGGGAAGGAGTGGGCATGGATTTGATCAAAACACCTTATATGCTTATATGCCTGTATGAAATTCTCAATAAAAAATATTTTGGTTTTTAATTTCATCTAGGGCTAGAAAGGTGGCTCAGTGGTTAAGAACACTGGTTGTTCTTGCAGAAGACCCAGGTTCGAATCCCAGCACCCACATGGCAGCTAACAACTGTCTGTAACTCTAGTTCTAGGGGATCCAACAGCCTCTTCTGTCCTCTGCGGGCATTGCATGACATGGGTGCACTTACCTACGTGCAGGAAATACATGCATACACATAAAATAAAAATAATAAAATATTTTTAAAAATTTCATCTAAACAAATCATGGCAAAGTTATTCAGACATTAATTTTTACATTAATATTCAATGAGTTGACATAGTTAAAATGTAAGACATACTAACACAGAGACCTATGATCTTTTAAGTAGTAAACTATAAATTAAATAGTTTGGTCAGGAACACAAACAGAAGAATTCAGAATTACTTTGTTCTGTTCAGACAGTAGTTTGTGATCACTTTAAACACAATATTAAGAGTGTTGGCAGCAAACCTATAACATAGTCATCAGAACAACAAAGGGAGGCTTTTGGAAGCCCTTGTCAAGAAACTCCAATAGACTCTCATATAAACATTTGAAAATTGCCCTGTTCTGACTTTTTCTAGTTCCCTGTCTAGAACTTGTAATGCTAATTACTCTTGCCTTTACTTCTCCTTCACATCTCCTATTCATGATTCAAGGACTTTCTTTTCCCCTTAGAAATAAGAGTTTTGCAATTTGGAAGTCTTTTGGATAGACCCACTGAAGGGGCACTCCAATTGCCTCACCCTGCGTCCCTGTTCAGCACTGAAGAAGCCAGAGCAGTCTGCGTCCCAATTCCTTATTGGCAATTTGGGTAAGCTCTTCAGAGGATGGTGTGATAAGAATAGGAGGTAGGAATTGGCTAGGCAGTTAGGGTAAAAAGACCCCAAAGAAAAGTAGTCAGTTTCTTGGCTAAGAGCCAAAATATCCTTGGGCCTCTTAGCAACATACTGTGTTCCAAAGGCCAAAAATGTCAAAAGTATTTTGGAACTTGTATCTAATCCTTTAAAAATTTTAGGATTACCTCTTCAGAGGGGGGAATGTTAGAGTAGCCAAAATCCCCATAAAAATAAATGAATGAAAGAAAAAAAAAAGAAAAAGAAAAAAGTGATGGGGAGATATGGGAAGTGTTGGAGGGGAGGGAGTGGGCATGGATTTGATCAGAATACCTTATATGCATGTATGAAATTTTCAATTAAGTTTTTGTGAAAGTTGTGGGCATGGATTTGATCAGAACACCTTATATGCATGTATGAAATTTTCAATTAAGTTTTTGTAAAAGTTAAAAAAAGGGGGGGATATCAGAGCTGTTGTTGTCAGCAGTCCTCCCTTTAGCAGAGAATGTAGTTTGGACTTAACGTTTTAGGCTCATCTCACCCTAGGACATGCCATCCTGGTTTCCTACAGATTAGGGTTAAGGTTAGTGTTAGGGATAGGGTACAAATTCACGTTCGGGTTATGGTTAGGGTTAGAGTTATTGTTATGGCTAGATCTAGGGCTAGGGCTAGGGCTACTGCTAGAGCTAGAGCTAGTTTTAGGGTTAGGGTTAGGGTTCGGTTTCGGGTTCAGTTTTGGGTTCGGGTTAGGTTTAGGGTTAGGATTATGGTTAGGTTTAGAGGTAAGGGTTATGGTTAGCTTTAGTGTTAGCGTTAGAGTTTGGGTGTGGGTTCTGGTTAAGGTTCAGGTTCATTTTAACGTTATGGTTGGGGTTAGGATTAGGGTTAGGGTTAAGATAGGGCTAGGGCTATGGTTAGGGTTAGGGCTAGTGCTACCAGTAGGGATAGGGTTAGGGTTAGGTTTAACATTAGGGTTAGGGGTTAGGGGTTAGTGTTATGGTTATGGTTATGGTTAAGGTTAGGTTTAGGGCTAGGGCTAGGACTAGTGTTAGGGCTAGGGAAAGGGATATGGCTAGGGTTAGGGTTAGGATTTGGTTTTGTGTTCGGGTTCAGTATGGGCCTGGGGCTGGGACTGGGCTTGGGGTTGTGGTTGTGGTTGGGGTTCATGTTCGTATTCGGGTTCAAGTTCTGATTAGGGTTTGGATTAGTGTTCGGGTTCGGGTACAGATTAGTGTTAGGGGTAAGTTTCGGGTTAGTCTTAGTATTAGGGTTAGGGTTAGGGTTAGAGGTTAGGGTTAGAGTTAGGGTTCG